TGTCAGGAGAATCAATAGTTCTCCATGGTGCTGATCCTGATAACTTCTGTTTCACTCTTCCTGCTTCTTTAGATCTCTGTTTCTAAAGTGCTTTGTAACAGACTGCTGCTAGGCAAGATAAGAGATTTGTCCCTTTTCATGAGAAGTTGACTGCAAACTGTGGAGGAAAAGGAAGTAGATTTGGCATTTTATTGTTGGCCAAAACAAAACCAAAAGCAACTGCTTCATGCCTGATAGGTTTGCAGAGCCTGACTAGGGCTTAATTGCTCTTTTGGTAAGTGGAAATGATATGTTGAAACTTAACATATCCATATAAGGCTATACCTAGAAACAAATACTGTGGGACAATGACAGGAACGCATTGCAATATGCAGCTTCAGTAGGCTTTCTAATCAAGCTTAACCTGTTTGGCAGGACTAACAGCTCACCCTGAATAAGTTGAGACCATCAGAAAAGAAACTAAAACATTCACCTCAGCTTTCAGTTACCAACAATATTTTTGACCAACTTACTGCAGTACTTCAAGGCAGAAGAAAGTCTTATATGTCTCTTACGGAAAACTAGTGTAAAACTCAGTGCAAGACCTGGGGGAACTCTATTTCACAGATCTTTTAACAAGACAAAAGAAAAAAAAACCACATTACCGCCATAAAGGAGTGGCATGTGTGATACACCGTTGCCATTCTCATGTAGAGCAAAGATCCCTCTGTTGCTCTGTCTGCATCAACCGTCTGCTCCTTGGTCAGACCGACAGGGAATGGAGGCAGAAGTTTCGAGTTAACATAAGAACGGATATTTTGGGGCAAACCTAAACTCTGTGTAGAAGTCCACCTCCAGCAATGGCCAAATCCCAGCTTCTGATGCCTCTGGAAGGGCATTAAGACTATGGGAATCACCGTATTACTGCCTGAAACACATTTCAGAGGTGCATGTTTAGGGCTCCTCAGCAGACTGAAGCACTTTTCCAGTTCTGCTGTATCCTTTTTGATGCAACGGGACATGAACAGTACATAACCTTCAACAGCACACATGCAGGAACAGCAAGGGGTTTTTTTAAAAAAACAGAATACTTCCTGAAGTATTTTCTATTTCTTTTCTTATAATTTCTAACATGCACATTCTTTTTAACAACAGGCTCATATTTCATGGGGGATTATCACTGAAGAGTAATGAGCATTAGACCCTTTAATATTTTTTCTTTGCTTTTATCTAATAGGAAATCTCATCTAAGTGCAGTCAGCAAGTTTTGTGAAGGTCTTCTGTAGTATTTTATTACCAACCCTTGTTTTTACAGGCCCGAAAAGCTTACTCATTAGGGGTTTTTGCTGTTTCACTGTTCACTCCCTATCAAGATCAGGTGAGGATTTTAAACACCACTGATCTCTCTACACAGCACTAGTGTGACACATCCACAGTGCTGGGACACAGGTTCTGTCCTCTGCAGAACAAGAAAGACATGGACATACTGGAACAAGTCCAGTGAAGGGTTCTCAACAACAATTAAGGGACCAGAACATCTGAAATACAAGGAGAGGGTGAGAGCTGGGACTGTTCAGCATGGAACAGAAATGACTCGGGGGGGATCTTATTGGAGTATATAAATACTGGACAAAAGCATTTACCAAAAGTATAGGGATCCACAGCGAGACAATCCTACTGTGCCTCTATAGCAGCAGTCTGTTAATTTTGCAGTTCTAGTTTTCTCTCACCAAACCTAAATAATTGAGCAAACAAAGAATTAATTCTGCAAATATTTAAAAAACCACTCCAACAAATATCAAAAACAAAGCAAAAAAGTCCCCATACAATGCTGTCAATTGAGCATACATTACAGATCTCCAAGGGGTTTTTATAGTTAATGTATGAAAATGCCATCCAGTCAATACAGGCACACAGAAATAATCTGAAAGGGAGCCGAGGGCAAAAATCTAAATGCTTCCTCAGAAAGTACTCGCTTAGCATGATATACAAAAGTTGGGTATGTTTAGAGAGAGCTCATGAATATAAAAAACATTTTGCCAGATACAAAAGTGTAGCAAAATTAGAGTATTCCCTGATTCAGTACTCTCAGTATTCTGATTAAAATATACAGTCCATAATATATGCACAACGATAGCACAAGCTTTCAAGACTAAATGTTTCAACACGGGGTGTTGCATTATTACTTCATGCTTTGGATGAAATTAAATAATTATATTTTTTTTCTGTATTTTTAATGTTTAGAAAACCTCACCCACTGCAAATTCTCACTCCACCCAAGACTTCTCCAAATCAGATTATTTGCAAAGACCAACTCCCAAAGAACTCTAGAAAATAAAGTTCAGTGATGAGGAAGCCCTGATACTTAACTTTCTCTTCCACAAGGGAAGTGCAATGTCTCTGAATGTCAGTGGGTACTGTGAGCAAGACCTTCACAAGCAGTGAACTTTCAGTGTATTGCCTTTGATTCCAGCTACAAGAAGAAATTACCTGAGAGCATATTTAGTGTATGTGACCTCTGATGTGTCCTAAGCAGAAGATGCTGACTGAGGCTTTTATTGATTGTTCATAGGTTCAACTGCTCTGGGATGGCAGTTTCACTATTGCTTTTCTAGCCTAGTTCCTCCAGCTATTTATGATATTACACGTACCCAAAGAAGCTGCCTATAATATAATTCATGAGAACATTTTCAGCTCCAGAAGGCTGACAAACGCATGCAGAGCTCTAAAGAGTTAATCTGGTCTGTGATCCATCCTGACAGCCACAGTGATGAGGCAGGGATGTGGGCTGCCTCCCTCTGCTAGGATATAGTGCGAGGGTCTGAATGCTCAGGCTCCCATGGGCTGGCAAAGACACAGACAGATGGTGTCTAAACATAGCACCATGCTGATCAAGCAATTAGATAGCTAGGACAGCTTCAATATATCTAAAAAAAAAAAGTTAGGCACACATTTGTGTGTATCCAAAACACCCACTTTTTGTATGTCACCTTCCTTGAAACTGAGCTTTCTAAATGACCTGCCTTGTAACAATATGCTTTGCCTACTGTTAAACTTCGTTTTCTATACTGGAACAGGACACAAGAAGTCCCTCTCGCTTCATGTTTTGACACATCATTACCATCATCACCACATCTTTGGTAAAATGTTTTCCTGTGCTGTCGTATTGTTTTGCCTGTCTTGCCACTGTTGGATCTTTTCAAGGAAGAGCACAAACACTTCAGTGTGTGTGCATTTATGATTTTCCATCCAGTGAGTGAATTATGAGTATTAAGACAAAAAAATCAGGAAACAATTTAGTCTGGTGAGCGCTATTTTGTGGACATTTACAAAACCAAGCATTTCCACAGGGAAGAAAACCAGTTTAAAATACAGAAAGGAATGTTAGAAAAAAAAATTTATATGTGACAAGCAATACTGTCCTCATTTATGCAGTCCCAGTCAGAATAGAATCACTAATCATGCTAAGTATTTTGAACTAATTAGGTTTACTGAACTATGGAAAAGTTACATTTGTAATTTCTCTAGCTAGCAATTTCTCGTTAGCTAGAACTAAGAAGAACCCTCTTCAAAATCACATTGGACATATTTCTTTAATTATCTGAGTAGGTTGTTACAGTAGCATTGTTTCTCTTCTGAGGGTCAGAACAATATCTTTTTACAACACTTTGAATTCCATTACAATCTACAGAGAAAGAAACTCGATCTCAAAAAAAATCTAAGATCTGTTCTTCATAAAATACAGTCAGGGAGTTTCTCTGCATTTTGTTACAGTGCCCAGATTATAAAATCAGGTCTTGTTGCCAGAGTTGGACCCACTTGAGTCACAAGATTGAAAATCTGCAGAGATGAAACCATACATGTGCTTCAATGCTGAGAACATATGCTGCTTACAAAACAAGGAGGAGAGCGTGAAAATCTGAGATCAGTGTTATTGATACCTGCTTTTTAGCTCTCTGTAATGCAGCTTCTAATTTTTCAACTGTTAACTGAAAAGGGTGACTTTCTTCATCAGTCACCTACAGAAGAAAAAAAATCATCAAGATAAAAAGACTGAGCTTTCCAAGGGGAAACCAATGTTACACAAGTTACGTGACAGAAACATCTTGCAATGCTTAAAGGAAAACATTTGCAAACCAAATTTACTCATAGTAGGAGTGGCAGAGCTGACAAATTATAATCCAGCCTGTCAGTGTGCACAGAATGAACGCAATCCTGCACACCTGATGGCAGCAGCCTACTGCCATGTTGCAGTCTCAGAAAGAGATGGGCTGTCTCAAAAAGCTCTTCATGGGTCCCATCTCTTCATTTGGCCTCAGTTTGCACTGTTGGGTTTTTTGGATTGTTCCCTGTGAAACGTTTGCTAATGTATGTGAATGGCTCAAGCTTCACCTCACTAGACAAGGGCACGTGAACAGGCTGTGTTCCGACATATAGTCACATTTTGGAATTTCCATCACCATAGTATGGAGCTGGAATAAGACATTCACCTAAAAACATTAGAAAATTAAATAAACATTTCTGATAAGCATTCCTCCCTCTGCCTGCCACCCACGCCAGCTGCTTGAGGAAGGAGGAACACGCTGGGGAGGCTGCCCACGGCACTGGGGTGGCTCCCAACCACCGCCCCCGTAGGACAGACCGACCCTCCCTGGTGCTCCACGGTGCAGGGCCCCGCATCCCTCACCGACAGAGGACAACAATCCCCGCGTGCCTCATGCCATCCCAGCAGACCTCCTGCTTTCCAGTGCAGGAATTCTGCTTTGGACCCACCATCTTCACCAAGACGTGGCTCCGTTAGCAGGACGTGCGGCACTAGGACAGCTGGTGGGGAAGGACGATGGGATCCGCTCACCTAGACACGGAAAGAAGGAGAGCTGGGGTCAGTGTGGAGGCAGGTGCTGATGTGAGGGAAGCCATGACCTTTTTCTCCCCAGGATCCATAGAAGAAGGAAGCTTTGATACTCTGACTTCAAGTGGGTTTTTTTCTACATTATATTTTAAACCTGTCCTTAATGAAGGAATTTTGGTCTTTTAGACATTGAGAAAATTATCAGGTTTTTAACTCCTGGAAAAATGGGCATTAGAAAATGGGATGAGTTAATTCTGGGGGAACACTAAAACAGTAATGCACCAAAAAGCTCCTGTTGTAGCTTTTTAGCATCTAAAAAAGGTCATGATGCTCTAGTTATTGCATTATTTCAGCAGCACTTCAGCAATATACAAGCATTGTATTAAGTATGTATTATTAAGAAATAATTTTATTACTGTTTCCTGAAACTTGGCAATCATTAAGGAAATGGAGATTAGCACTGAATCTGTAACAAGTTCATTTGAAGGACTCAATTACCTTCCAAACAGAAAAATGGCACAAAACTGTGTAAATGGCTTTAATCCTCACAGTGCTTGTGGTGGAATAATATGGCATTGACAGCATTTTATGGGTGGTTCCAAATATTTTGAGGTTTATTCTTTGCTTTTTATTCTACAAAGTTGCTGATCTCTAGAAATAAGGGAAATTGCCCAACAGCTTATGACTTCTTATAATGTCTGATGTGCCAAAATCTAGTGTCAGCATCCACTTATTCACTGGGTCTCACAAGATATGTACTGTGCTACAGCTGTGCCTAAATCAGATAATAATCATTACTGCAGGATCTCAAGAGCTGGTTCTGTGCAAACAATGAAGAAAAGGATCATCTTTTTGCACCCAGGATTTGCAGAGTGACTTTTCCCCTGAAATACCAGTTTTCACAAAAACATTTAAAACTAATTCAAGCTATTAAAGACTTTTGGAGGCTGGTGTGTGACAGTTGAGAGGTGCAAGATCTGCCCTGGTTATCTAATAGCACTGCTGCTGTAGGACATCACAGGAAGGCCGAACACTTGGGTACTTGGGAGCCTTACAAAAGCCCTGCCAGCTGCTAGAGGATATAGAGGACTGATTTTTCCCACTTCATTTCTTAGTCTGACTCACACTTGTGATGTGAACACCAGCGAACTGATTTAGTATTTCTTTACCAACCCCTACCTGAGCATCTGAAAATACGTTATCCTATATCTCTTTGCTGCATCACTGGAACAGCCACTAAACCATAGGCAACAGAATTTCATTTCAGTGTGCCTATGGTAGATTGTTACCACTTGGGCTATTTCAGAAACGGGAAAACTAAAGCAATTGAACCTTAAGCCCAGGTTCTCAAGTGGCAGCTGTACATGGGTTATTCTCAAACGATGCTTGTGAGAGAGAAGCGAATCCTTACCTGTCCACTGACATCGATTGTAGTCTAATCTCCCAATTTCATGTGGTGCAAATACCCACAGAACTCAAGCAAGAAACTCTCTTTGAGAAATGCTTTTTATGGTCTCCAAGAAGAAAAGGTAGGGATAAGAAGGTACTACTTCTGAAATGTAACTTGATATTCTTCTGATTAATAAACAGTGGCATAAAACAAGATACAATTATCTTGGTTGGGTTTTTTTTTGCTATAGTTATTCTGAAAGTATTAGTCTAGCTGCCTACCAACAAACACATAAAGGACCACCCTCCTCTAAGCCCTCCAAAGGCCATTAGAGAATGGTTTTATAGTTTTTTTAAAAAAAACATTTCCACCATTATATATTACAGTTTATTTGAACAGATTCTATTTTTGTGAGGGACAGGAAATTGTTGTTAGGATTTGGCAACTATATTGATAAAACCCAAGATTTAAAAGTTTATGTGATAAACAACAGGACAGAATGTAACCAATGTTCTCTCAAAAAATTTAATATCAATCTGAAGGAAGACAATTTTCTTCAAAATAAAATGTGACATAATCTTACAGCATGTAAATTTAAAAGAAACTTATCTTCAACTGCTGCATTAATAAATCCATATGAATATAAATAATCTGATTTAATCACATTTGTCATTTCCAGTTACAGTTTAGCAATTACAAACAAATACAAGTTACTAAGCTAGAGTAATTTTTTGTCCTGGTCTGAATGTTGAGCCACCTTGTCCTTTCCTCTTCTTGGGATTCTGAAAATTATCATACCTGGAATGAGAAAAAGATATTAGAAAATTCTTCTGACATGCACATGCCTCTTCAGATGCACATTAAAGCAACACAAAACTACAGATGTTTAAATGTATTTTTATGGAAATGAAGAGTGCATGTCTTCTCAGACCTGGGGACTTGGAGGACTTTTCACCCACAAATTCAGACAGCCCTTTGCTCTGCTTCCTTTTTTTCCCCAGCTTTTTTACTTCAGTCACGTCCAAGTCGAAGGAGACACATTCTCCTTTTCGGTATGTTTATACTTCTACAGATTATTATTGCCTTTTCCCAAACATGGTAGCTAAAGAGACCACCCAGCAATTTGAAAATACGAGAGGCTACTACTAAGTGGGAGCAGGAAGGACCTAGCTCTAAGTCTTAGAGAATCGGTGCCTCTTTGTACTGGTATAGCTCTTAACATAAAACAAGGGTTTTCTTAGCTGTGATTTCTAGGTCCTACATTAATAAAAAACAATTCACTGATGAAATATTTTCCCTTTCTCAGTACCTAATTTAATATTTCTGAAAAAATTGCTGCAAGAAGTTATTCAACTCTGCTGCCATTCCCTACGTTTATTTAAAACTACTTTGTTTCTGATGTATAAGGAATGTGAAAAAATAAAATCTTAACTGAATTCACAATTACAAAAGAAGTAATACTTACAGTTCAGTAAAATTCTTCCAGTCATCTTGACTAATGGATGGTCTCATACCCTGAAGTGCAGTCATCAGATGGGACTGGGTAATAATTAAAGTGGTCTTGGCAAGCCCTGACTGATTAAGGGTGCTGTCCTCCTTGGAAACAGAGCCATGAACAGACAATGAAGAACATGAACAGAAACACAGAGTCATCAATATCACTAACTCTGGAACCTCCTCATTACACGTACAGACAAATGTATTATAAACACAGTCACGACCTCCCTCTCACCCCCAAATTAATAACACAGAAATAACTGCTTAGTTACACGAATGTTAACTTCTGCCTTATTTTCCTCAAACTAAGCATCACTTTGCTATTTTCATTACATTATATTTAATATTATTGCAGGAATTCTTTACTGAAATACCAAGAAGTGTGGGAAAACAATAGGGAACTGTTAAGACTAAGTAATAAAAAAAAAATAAAAGCCATACTCCGTTCTTGCTTCTGTTACTGGTTTTGATAGCACTGACTTCTGTCCTCAGGTGCTCTATTTGCTGCTCCTGGTTGTTCTCCAGGGAGCCTTCTTGAGAAGCTACTCTGAGCATTGAAGGTTGTGAGGATGCTACATCTCTCTGAGTCAGGCTGGTAAAGTCGTAAGTGATGGAGTTTGGTCCGGACAAACACAAAGAGCTCTAAATTGACCATAAGGAGAAATATATTAACTTATTATGGATCCAAAAGAGCTACTCCATCATTAGGAATTAGCCTATAATTCAGTACAAGCTTGTTTTTGTGACAAAAGAGTAGTTTCTCTTTGAAATATATCCCATACTGGAGACACACTATCTTTAACGCTGCTGATGCTTTTGAGAAAGCACGCAGGATCACTCTCGAGGAGAAAAGACAACGCAGAAAGAATCGTGCCTTGCAGAATATATCTCCTAAGGAGTCTTTCTGCTGTGCCTTTTGCAACCGGACGTGTCTATCTCATATTGGCCTTTTTAGCCACCAACGATCTTGTAACAAACGTGGGTAGAGCCCTCCCCAAATCTTCGTTCGCGAAGCCCAGCCATGATGATGATATCCCATACACAATTTTTTAACAAGAAGATTTAGGTTAATTTGCTCAGGTGTTTGGGCAATGAAAATGAAGTGTTTCATGCTTGGAAAAAATGTAAATATTTTCACAATGGCCCATCTCAAAAAGAATAAAGGTCTGCTAAATCCATTGTTTTATTTACTTACACCTAAGCCAACCTGCACATTCCTGCCTGCAAGCTGGACAAGGAATGCTGCTCTCTGTGCAACATGACACTACCACATCAGGAATTCTGCTTTGTAACAACAGTGACAGAAGCTAAGGTTTAGTTCTGTTCTTGACACAATTCCATGGTCAGATTATTCTATTAACACATGTTTCACTGGAAACTGAAAAAAGTTTGTTGATTCTTAAGATAAGAACTTAATTCTTGAAAGCTGGATGGTCATTCTTTAATGAATGACTAAGTGGAAAAAAACCAACAAGTAAACCAACCACCCAAAAGTCAAAAACTGTTTTAGTATTAAACTTTGGAAGGGAATAAGCCATTTGACCAGACAGAAAAATCTAGTATGAATGCAGTTTCTTCATTATAAGGTATTAAGCAGTATTTTGGGATTTTGATTTTAAAGTCCTACAAAGTAGCAGAAAAGTCCATATCATATTTTGTCAGATCACATCCTTCCATCCTATTCCTCACTGTTGACTACAAGGTATAGACTGAAGACAGTTTGAAGGTCAAAGGAGACATAATTGTATTTATAAAACCCTATCATACTTCAGTTTTTCTGCTTTACAACTAATAATATTTTTGAAAATTCAAAATATTAAGTGAGTAATTTACCAGTTCTGAAGGAGTTCCATTTCCCATCTCTGATTCATAAGAGCTTCCAAAATAAATACGATACATATTGGACCTTGGGTCTTCAGGAAGCAAGTCAGACATATCTAAAGAAACAAGAGATTGCTCTAGCCCTGCTTCTCCATCTATTGCTGAATCATCTGAGCCACTGCTGTGGTTTAGAAAAACCATGGAAGAGAGACTGAAGTCACTATCAGAACTAGATCCAAAATCCTGTAACGAAGAACAGAACATTAGAAGAGTTAATTCCTAAGTGCAATCTGAAATACATGAAAAATTTCATATACAATACATATGAAAGTATGGATTAACATTTTATTCTAGTAATCTGTCTTTCTCTAGGGGTGTATTTCCAAATATTTTGCTAAGAAAATCCAATGCTTTTAAGCAGAACTTTCTGTCTTCATACTAGAAAAATAATTTGAGGAGATAATCTTAAGTTTTTATTAGTTTCAACTGTCTCACTCAGCAAGTAACAGCAAGTAACAGCAAGTGTTACTTCTTTTGTAGATCTGTATCACTTCTGTCTCAGCCTTTCCCTCCAGGCAATTTAGTATCCTGTGTAAAGTGCTCCAGGATACTGAAGTGAGTCTAATTTTACTGTGTCTAATTGACACATTTTAAGTGCTGATTTGGAAATCACAGTTGTTGCTTTAGACTGGTGTCTGCAAACCTGTTTGATTGTACACCTCTATCAGTAAAAAATTTCTGAGCACACTCCACCAAGTTTATGCATAATTTACATACATGCACTATTGAAGTTCTTATATTTATTTCCTGCACTTCAATGGACTCTGCTGTGCAAGCTCTGGGGTGTGTGCACACCACTCTGGAGACCTCTGCTTCAGACAACAGATTACTCTTGTGATGCATAATCATGAGGTACCAACTACTTACTTACTGATGCTACAAGTGAAGGGAGAGTTAGGGAAGATCCTTCCCAATATTTAGAGTTGCAACCTCAGAGTCCCACTCCTTGATAACAGCTGGGGCAAAAACAACTCAAGAGGTCTCCTTGATTTTGCATCCCTGACCCAACCCTTCCCTTTGGCCTCTGAGTAGTGGAAGCCATGCCTGTCCATTTCCAGCTAGAACCAGAACACAGGCATTAAAAATGTGAAGAGAGGTGGTTGAACAGAGGCTAAAAGAGGAAAGAACCTGTCAGTCAGACAAGGAGTACAAGCTAGGATCCTGTACTTCGAGCTGGTGCCTGAAAGATGAACCAGAACAGGCCGTTTCAGACATCACCACCCTCTTGCCACTTCTCTCCTGACTTCAATTAAACTCGATCTGTTGGAACAACTCCACAAAACCCACCAATATTTTGCTTCCTCCATCATCCAAAATGTGCCATCTCAAAACTGAATTTGTTAGCTGTTCCTAAGAAACTCTGAGTGGGATCCCTCCTATTGATCTGTCAGTCATTCCTCACAACTGTGATAAACAGATTTAGGCTTACATAAATCTATTTAACATTAAACGCCTATCATGAATGAAGCTGTTTAAGAGGTATTCAAACTAATTTGTTACATTATTCTTTATTTTTCTGCAAACATTAAAATTTTAATCCTCTCTATAAAAGAAAACTAAATCTTATCAACATAATTTGCTAAAAAACATGGATAATATGAACCCTTTCAAACATATCAACATAAAAAGAGGAGAGGCTTCTTTTATAACAGTTTTATTTACCTGTGTTAAACCTAAATTTAGGTTAGAATGGATTGCCTCTAATTGGGCATTGTATAATAAAGCTTTTAGGTCAGCCCCCGTGAACTGCTCTGTTTTTGCTGCCAAATCCTGAAAGTCCACATCATTTGCCAAGGACAGGGAATGACTGAGAGCTTTTAAGATTTCATAGCGTGAATTCTGTAAAAAAAGGGAAAAAAAGTCAGTAAAGCAACCTGTTATTTTACTTGTCCTGATTGCTAGATGGTGCTTTGGCCCTGTCACAAGCAACTTCCTCTCTGAGGGAGAAAGGTGCTTTTTTAAAGAAGATACTACCCTAATACTAGAAAGATACTACCCCTAACCAAATGCAGTATACAGGGAAATATATTTCTCTAAATATCCAGTCAATATCTAGGATTTTTATACATGAAATACATAAAAATATGAAAGTGAAGTCTGCTACTCATATGTCCTTTTGTAAAGAGAGGGATGATGGAAGTGAAAAATTTCTGTTTACTTGAATGATCTTACTCTAAACCAGAAGTTTAAAACACACACAAAAAAATATAAAAAGAGAGAATACCTATGCTCTTAAGGCACAGGATTAACTTCTTCATGTGTGTTCCAGAATGAAATTATGTGGTACTTGTTAAATGTGTGAACTAATCTGAAAATGAACAGCACTAGTTTTTTCTCATAAAATGGGAATCAAATGCACATATTGTAGAGCCTCAAAGGAATGGTTATGGTTCAAGCAAATCACATATTTACTGGACTCATAATTCAAAGAAAGATGCAGAACATTACAAACACTACGCTGCATCCAATTTCTTTCTGCAGATTAGTTTCCTGTTTTAATTTTTAATTTTTTTTTTAAATCGGTCACATCCACAGGATATGACTTGATCCTGAAGACTTCTTTCCCCAGTTTTATGTGAACACATTGACACTGAAGTCAGAATTTATACCGTTGTATAACTGGAGTTGGACAATCAATTCCACTTAGTCCAGGTTTGAAATGCCACTAAATATGTAGTGGATAATATGAAGGAGAACAAAATAATATAAAGGAGATATATATAAAGGATAATATAAAGGAGAACAAAGACCATTAGTTTGATTTTTTCCCTTGCCTCTTATGTGAAATTATTTGTTTCCTCACCTGATCAGGAGGTGGACAGTACAGGCACTCGTCCAGTCGACCTGGCCTTAGCAAAGCAGGGTCAATCAAATCCGGGCGACTAGTAGCAGCTAGCACATAAACCCCTTAGGAAAGTGCAGAAAAATGCCATTAACATCTGCTGAACCTTTGCTTAAAAAGGAGCACACGGATGAATTGTTACCTTGTAAGCCTTCCACACCGTCTAACTGAGTCAACAGTTGGTTAACCACTCGGTCAGTAACTCCTGTGTTGTCATGACCTCGGCGTGGAGCAATAGAATCAAACTCATCGAAGAAAATGATACAAGGCTTAGCTGCCTGAGCTCTAAAAGGAAAAAAAAAAAGGTAAGTTAAGTTTCAGTCACACGTAAAATTGCTTAGAAATATTAAAGGTAATTGTTTTTGCTTCAGAGGACAGTTATCTTTAATGAAAGAACAGGAAATCTGTTTTTTGTAGAATTTAAGAGGTTCTGACTAACTGGATTACAATGTAATCACCACTCACTTTTATGACATACTTTGCACTTGCTTTATCATTTCAGAAGTGCTTAATTGTCATTTTAATAAACATGAAAGTTCTAAAATCCAATCCCTTCAGAGATCTTGGCTTACGCACATCTAACAAAAAGACTGCCCACACAATAAATTACGTGAGAAACAAAGGCTATGTAGGATACGTTTACATTACTGAGCACTGAGAGCCAGTAAGGGCAAACTTGTTAAACAGTAGGTTTTACTGGCACTGAGGAACTCAATACCAAGTCTAACATGATCCTACATATTAAGTGTGCATTATTAGTTGCAGTACACTTGACTGTCTTCTGGAATCATCTGAAAGGAATTCAGCATGTGTTTTCCAAGGCAGTTCTGTGATGTGAACCAGTGTGCTGTAAAATGGAGAGAACTGGGAGTTCAGCTTCAGAAGTGCACTCCTGATCGGAGCCAAACATGCAGTTGTTGAATAATGATGGTCCAGCTGAACCTGCCAAGACACACATCTGGTTCAGGACAACTGATTATTTCAGGTGATTTTGTGATCTGATGCCACGTCTCTCCTCAGACAACAAAATTACTTCTTGGTGCTTCAACCAATAAAATTAACTGATAATATCACAAATCTTTACAAAACGAACCTGTTAAAGATATCTCGAACTGCTTGTTCACTTGCTCCAATGTATTTGCTGAGCAACTCTGGTCCCTAAAAAATAATCAGAAAAGAACATTCATGACACGTCTCTTAGTTTTAATGTGTAATTAAACATCAGCATAGATTTTGTGTACTAGAGTGAATTTTCTTGTAACCAAGACAGTGGCATCTTTGAACAGAAGAGTCAAGGGGTCTAGATAAGCAAAAAAAAATTTTTGAGCATTCCAACTTATTTTAAAGTAGTCATTTCCATTTTTCTACTATAACAGAACATGTATTACAGTATCACAAGGCAAAGGTTTACACTCTATTTTAAAAATCTGTTTTAAATATATTGCTCAACTTCACTGTCCCTTGGAAACAAAATCCAAGGTCTTTAAAAAATAAGAAACTAAGAAGATCTAATTAGATTTTATAATTCTGCATAATGAGTAAGTAGACAAAAGAATCTCAGTAATAAAACTCTGAAGTTCCAGAAATCGGATAGTGGGATATCCAGAGACATGCAAAATTTTGAATGTGAGTTTCTTTCTTTGTTATTTTGCCATCACAAGCACATAATTTCAGGTATTATGTTAAGCAATTTCATTCAGTCAATAAAATTAATCAATTAATCTTAAAATCTTGCTACCTTGACACTGATGAAGTTCATTCCACTCTCTCTTGCAACTACTCCTGCTAACAGTGTTTTTCCTGTTCCAGGTGCTCCATACAGCAAGACTCCTGATCTCTGTCGTATGGGCAAGTTGGCAAATAATTCTGGATACTGGAAAAGAGTTTCAATGTGATATATTCTAAAATACACAATGTACTGTAACATCACTGACTGCTGATCACTTTTGTATAAACAGAATGCGTGTCATTTATTTTTTCCACACTATTGTCCCAGCAGCTCGTCTGGACTGTTGTCAGTTTACCTGGGGCTGTAGTGGGTTCTGAGGTTTAATAAATACTTAAAATACAAGCAAGTGGGATTTTCTACCAAGGTGAAACAGGACAGAATAGGGATGGACTAAAGCTTTATAATGTCCATGTTGCTACTTCTAAATTCCTATTATAACACTGAATTGTATGATCAAATATTCTGTTCAGTCATTTCTCTGAAGACTGAAATGGATGGCTCATCTCAATGCTCAAGTTTAAAGCAAGGCAGAAAGGCCAAAGTAAAACCAAGGGGGACTGATGGACTGGCATTCATCCAAAAGAAAATACTCCTCTAGCAAAAGCACTGCAGAAGACAGTTGGAATTGTTATCTTCAGAGAGCTTAATCACAAACCCTGCAACAGAGAGTGTAGCTATACTCCCATATTCTAGAGCAACACTTGATCTGTAGTAAAGCTCAAGTCATTGCCTTTTGTATTTGGAAGAGGGAAGGGGAAGGAGTTTTTCAGTAGTTGAAGACAGCTGAAGAATGGAAAGCTACAAAAGTAGCTTAAAATCATGCCTGTCTTCTTTCTATCAAACAGTGTGTCACACCTTAAAAATCATTCTTTCCCTACTAACATTATGCACAAAATTCAACTAACTAATTTAAAAGAACTTGGTACCTTTGCAGGTAACATGATGGTATCCGTGAGTATTTGCTTCACATCTTTTAAGCCTCCAATCCTGTCCCAGCCAAGGTCTTTAGGTTTATGAAGGTTGACATTTCTCAGAGCTACTGGAGTAAAATCTTTCAGAACTTTCTGAAAATCCACAGTTGATAGGTTCAATTCTGCTTAAAAATGAAAGAAAAAATCCTGAACAAAAGAAAAAGAACACAAAGACTACCAGTAACGAATTCCTCAGAATATGCAATAATTAAATAAATTTTAAACATAAAAACTGGCTTTTTATTTCTGTATTAATCCACCACTTCTGGATAACAGAAGTGAGACCATGAAAAAAGATATTTTGTTTTCAACATACCACCATTATCCAATGCATTCTGGTTAGAAACACAGGTATGAACAGCACGATCAACCAGCATAGTAAAATCTCTGGCAACAAAACCTTCCGTTTCCTTTGCAATACATTGGAGGTCAAGATCAGGAAAGTTCTTAGGATCAGAATTCAGTTTCTTCTTTATTATGAAATACAGCATTTCACATCTTTGCTTCTGAAAAACAGAATTGTGCAGCAAGCATATATTGGGTTAACTATATATATAGAGTTCAGGAATTCAAAGAGTAAATACGTGTAAGTTACTAAAATTTCCTTAAATATTTGCATGTCACCAAACCTTCAAATAACAAACCTGAGCAGGCATGAATATAAATCAATGTTAGTTCTTAAGGTGCACTTCAATAAATTCACCAGTTTTATAACTTTAAGTATTTACCTCACCATGGCGACCTTAAATCCAACAATAATAATGAAACAACCCTCCACCCCCGGATTCCACTGTTTTAAACCCATTTTTTCTGTTTCACAGGAAAATGAACCCCTTTAATCTTGTCAGTATGAGTAGAAAATACATTTGAGATGAAATACATTGCATTAGATAAAAATATTTGGGATAATGCGGTATCTTTTGAGATCTTGACTTTTCCAGTGATGTCTCATCCTTATTTGTGTATTAGTATTAAACATAATAAAAGCAGACTTGCAGGAGGTGGGAGAAAGCTACACTGTATCTAACATAGAATCTCCTCCTCAGTGGCTTTTAATAGCTGGCCTGTGATGGAAGACACACCAACAGGAACTCATGTTAAATACAAATGAATCATTAGGGGTTCAAAGTATTTGCTTTCTTCTGCAAGAAAGTTAATACTGTTTATTCTTCTCTCTATCCATTTTTCTTTTTAAAATGGACTACATTCAAAAGTAAAGGGATACAATTAACATAGAAATCCAAAAACCTTCCCATAAAATTAACATTTAGTTTTAATAACACCTAAAATACACTTTCTAAGGACACACTTATTTCTCTAAGCTGTGAAAAAACACACCTAGGTTAATCTACCTGTGGTGACTTAAATGTTTTTACAAATTTGCTCCTTTAGCATCCCCTTCTATGTAACATGCCTATCTCACCTGTGTTAGATGACTTATTTTACTTGAATTGAAATATCCTCTGAATATACTGAAGGGTGGGGCCAACTGGGAGTTTTCGCTGGATTACTTTTTTTTTTAAAACTTTAGACTGACAGATGTAAGTTCTGAGGTATTTGAGGTATTTAAGGATCATGAAAGAATTTCTAAGATTTCCAGATTTTTTTCCCCATCTTTGGGTGTAACCTACTATTCTTGCAGCTGCTCCAACATCATATTTGAGGCTGATGGAAAGGCAAAGTACATTTCAACCATTTTATTTGAATTTACCTGATCCGGAGATCGGATACATTTGAAGCACTGGAATATGTGTGTTCCTTGTGCTGAAACCAGGGAAGGATGAAGGGAATGTTCAGACTCACTTGTGGCAATTAATGCAATCAAACTCCCCATGGAAATAACTTCTTTGATTAGATCTTTCAAAACTAAACACAGAAGATATTGCTCCATAAATTACAAATTAACAAAAGATTCTGCATTTCAGAATAGATATTTTTACTGTACTGGAGAGCAGCATTAGGGCACACAAGAAGTAACAGCTTATAACATATTATTTTTAATCCCATGTTTACAGTTGTTTTTTTAAATTAAAAAAAAAAAGATGTATAGTAATTTTCTCTAGGAGAGTACATTCCATTAATAAAATGACATCAGAAGTGCTCTTGAAAAGCTAATTTTGTTACATCACTGATGATGTCTACCACAAGATATTAAACATGGATTTTTTGTGTGTGCTATTATTCCTTCCATGCAAACAAAAAGGAAAAAATTATAAGAATAAAAACAGATGTTGAGTCTAGAACACAAGCACTCTAAGAAAAAAGTAATACATGAAAGTAAGATAAATTAAGGGTGCAAAGTAGATCTTCAAGGAATAATCTTTAAAGCGCTGTTGTATGCATTATACCTTTAAATAAAGTAGTAAGAAACCCAAACAATTCTGCATGTAACCTAAGAGCACATTTTAAAAAAAGAAATTATAGTAAGATTTTCTGAACTTCAAAAGTAATTCAATAAAAATTACACTAACTTCCTCAAAGTGAGCTAAGAAATGGGAGATATTTTTGCTATGGCCTTATTAATCTTGATCATTTAAATTTAATTTGTGACTTAAACCTGCCTAGATTTTTGGGAATAAAAAGGAACTGTATAATATAGGATATCAAACTACAATTGATCGTCTTATTTTTAACATCTGTGGATTGTTACATTGTAAAACAAATTAGAAGTTCTAAAAAGTATACCAAGTACAACAATAAAGAAGTTGGTACTCATCTAAAAGAAGCTGGTTCTAAACATCAGTAAGTATCAAATTTATGTATTGCTGTAATTATAAATAATTATGGGAAACACACAAATTATCAATAGTTGTCAGTTAAAGACTCATCTGCAGTTTGTAATCAATTGCAATGTATTTGAGTGCATGAACAACATTAAAAAAAAAAGAAAGGAGAAGCCTTTACCACTGGCAGTGGTACTGACAACAGGCATCACCATCAGCAGTAGTGGTGGAACCACTACTGACAAGCACTACTCCAAGTTCCAGAGTGGACTATTTTGATTCAGCTAGTGGTCCACAAATGGCCTAAATAGCAAAATTTGTGCATCTCTGCCTGAATATCACACAGTCCAGAGGCAATAACGATACAGACAGAATTGTTCAGGTAGGAGAGGACAATTCAAGTGCAAGAAATTCTAAGCTACGTTATATTTGTATCCAGACACAGGTAGCACAGTATTACCATAAGCAAGTCTATTGCTTTGAACGGTTTCAGGGCTGTTCTCATGCTCTGGTGTAGAAGGTACTCCAACAATGTGATCAAGATCATCCATCAAAAGAATGGATGGTTGTCTCCATGCTGCCTCTAAAAAAGCTTCTTCCACGTTTTTCCTTATGTTTACTAATCTTTTTCCTAAAACAAAACACTATTATAATGACAGAACATATCAGGAAAAAAAAATCAGACTGACTGTATCTTGCTCATATAATACCACAATGTTTTGATTTGTCTAGCTTAACTTTACACCTATAAATCCAGGTACCAAGATTAAACCAGTCAACAATCAGTAAAGAAAGGAGTCTACATCTTCTACTAAAAAGTACTAGAAGGATACACATGTCCTAAAATGAGATTAATCATCTTTCACTAACTGCTATAGAAGCCTACAGGTTTAATTTCCGGACAGTTAAAACCAGAGCAGTATCAGCAGCATTTCTTAAATAGCGGGATCAGTAGCTATTCTAAAATAGCTACTAAAGAGTCCTGCAATTGGAAGAATTTTCCAGAGCAAAGGACCAAGCTCTTCATCAATCCTTCCCTTTTTCTCTGAAGCGAGAAGCTTAGTAGGATCTTAAGCAAAAAGAGTACATCCATGCAACATAAGGGCTCTGTAAGAAAACAGTTAAGTATCTTCTGCTGTATAACAGGAAGACTGTTTAGAAAACCCAGCAAATGAAAGAGCAAAAAAAAATCCTTTTTTGTCCTGTTCCATCTCTGCGCAAAATACTCATTTTGAAGTCACAAAACATAAGGATGCATCTCATCATCATCATCTATAATCACGAGCGCTAGACGACTATTGCCAAATATACTAGGTTAGTAAACATGTCATCATAATCAGGTTTCAGTTGGTCTTTTGATCATTCTTTGGTGCCTGTATCATCCTTTCACCGAGCAATACAGGTATCCTTAAACGCTTCACCTGGCACAGCTGAAAAACCACACAGTCCAACTTGCAGCTTCTTCCTATTTCGCAACAATCAGAAATAAGCATGGCAAGCATAGTTTGAATATGGTGGTAGTACATGGAACACAAACTGATAAAAGTGTGACAGAAGTTTACAGCAGCTGTATTTTCATGAGACTGTTGAAGACAATAATTGTGAGGCATCAAATATCCTTCAAAAGCAGCAATAATACTAGAATAATTAAGACTAAATAGAGTAACTTCATAACTGTGCCTCTTTATCGTACAGCAAACATTTGAGATTTAAAAAAATATCATCATACCTCTTAAAGCTTTACAATCAATTACTTCTACGTGAGCATCCAGTCTATCGAAAGCCTCTCTGCAGATGGCCTTTGCTAACGTTGACTTTCCACTTCCCTACAAAAGTAAGTGTGAGCTGGTGTAAATTGACAGAACCAGTTCCTTCTGTATACACCAACAAACAAGCTTGGAAAGCTGTACACATGCTGGGTTTATTCCTCACTAAAAGCATATATGGTATTCTGTCTTTGTATCACTTGGCAGAAACCAAAGCCCTAGAGTGAAACAAGTATAAACAAATTCAGAGTGGATACATCGACTACATATAGTGTTCTGAGTCCACTGAGTTCAGTCCTAAGACATGCGGTAGTTTCAGTGGAATACAGTATTAAATGGATCACTGTAAGAGGCAACAGGAAAATAATACTATCAACTCCATTGCCATTTTATGTTAGAACACAGGAGAAAATATTTTATCGTATTTTCATTCAATATTTCAGAGACAAGAGGTGTTTATTATACTATAAACACGAAGTAGATTAATCCCCTATGGGAACAAACTGAAATTGCATTGGTAGCAGTCTTTAAAACTTACATTTTTTATATATATACACATGAAATATGAATATATGCTGAAGAAGTGTGCATATAATCTGTATACATATCTATAAGATGATGTTTTGCTGAATTACCTCTGTTCAGCTAACTTGCAGTTTTTTCAGCTTGTTCTTTATTCTTTGGAATTTGTGTGGTAACGAAGAAAACTAATGAAAACGATTTTGTAACTATGGAAAACAATCTGGAAGGGTTTGGAAAGTGGAAGTAGTGAAGTATGTACCTTTCCTCCTGTGAGAAGCACTCCTCCACTTCGCAGTCCCACAGCAATAGCAGCCAGCTTTTGAGACAAAGGACGCCCCAGAAGACTGTGGCTTATGTGTTCAAATAAAGATGTTCCTAATTTGTCCACTCCTCTGTAAGGTAAAGGAAACATTAAATGGCCTAGAGTAGCATCCGTACACTCAGAAGCAGCAATAGCCTGCACTATGGGGAAGTTACAATGCTGACGGACTGTGATGTACTTCACTCCTTCAACAAAAAGATGAAGACTCAATCTGAATAGACAGCACTTCTATTCTGCAGTGGTGACACAGGGGACACAGACAGACATTACAGAACATGCCCACAAAGGAAGTGCTATCTATTATTGTACACCGCACCACACTAGCATAAGGTAGGTCTCAGAAGTTGAGAATTAACCATCTTTTGGGGTTTCATCTACTTGAGTGTTTGAGTAACAACCTACAAAGGAATGTAACAAACTGGTAAAACATGGAGCATGGCTGGGTCAGAAAACTCAGTCTTTTCAGAAATGAAACAACCCATAGTTCATGTGAAGACATCCTTATCCTTCACTCACCCTCAATCTTCGTGACATTCAATATAATAGTGCTCCTCTCAGGGACACAAACAGCAAAGCTACCAGTTTTGTATTTGAACTTTAAACAGGAAGTGTTGTTCCATGAGAAATGGAATGAACAAATGAATCCTAATTTCTAACATCTCTACCCTACCACATCCCATCACTACCAGACTGCCCCTGTATCAGTTCCCCTTCCCTCTTCAATAATGGTATGCTGAGTTGCTTTTCACAATGTCTCAGTAATATCCTCAGTTGCCCTTCATAACACTGACAGCATACTATCACAACACTCTGAGCCTCTCAAGTCTCCTCTGCCCCATCCCTACTTCAAGTTTGCTACACAGTGCCACTGTTTTCCCTTGTACTAAGGACTACAGCACTCTGCATTTCTCTCCTCAGCTGACAATTCTGGTAAAACTTTTAAGAACCACAATTCTTTCAGACCCATACTATTAAATACAGTTAAACAAGTAAACAGGTTGAAATTATTGTGGGAAGAGGACTGACAATTTTGCTTTATTTGGAAACTTCTGAAGACGTAGAAGTCTGTTTATACTGCTTAGAACAACAGCAGGAGCTGCTGAACTATCAGTATTTCTTCTAAAAGTCTCCAGTTCTGAGTTCCAGTTCTGATGCGGTCTCAGTTCTGAGACCTCCCATTCTATTGATAGACATGCCAAAATTTTGTGTGAGTGCCTTTAGTCACATGAAGTTTTCTATTCACTGCACTAAGACCATTCAAGCACGAAATAAACCATCTACATGAATTACAATAAGGTCTGAACCTGATCTACCAAAAGATGCAGAGTTTTGCTTAAATCTGGTTTAGTTTTCAAAACCTCTGAATTTCCACCAACAGTATTTTTTTCTAATTCTCATTCCCATTCCCTCCCATGTTTTCTTCTATGAAAATATCTCACCCTAAACTGTTTAGTTTGTGGTATGGAAGGTTCTTGTCTGTATCACGCATAGGTGGTTGGCTGTCACCATCAGCTTTTCTAGTTACAGGATGTAAAAGAACCTAAAAGGAAAGAGTTAGGACTTTAGATTAAATATAACTATGGAAGAAGGATATAGAAGTGACTAGCCATTTTTGGAATTGTGTAAAGAAAATGCTGCATATATGCTTTGCTGAAGCTTACTGCGCTTGAAAGATGCATGCAATGGTGAAATGGAATAGATACAATTATTTCCAAAATACAATCCAGTGTTGACAGTGATTTAATAACCTATGATTAGATGCTGAGCCAATTGCTGTTTGTACCAGACTATGCAGCCCACCATCTCTTTTCCTACCTGTAACTTGTACCTTCTCCTGTGCCCTCACCTGTTGTGCTGGCAGGAGTACTCGTGAGGTAGAACAGTGAAACAGATCAGGAATCTGATCTGGGTAAGATCGGATTTGACAAAACACGTGGCATGAATTTTTCAGTCTTGTTCACCAGGGAGTTAGTATGGAAAGCCGGGCAGGCACACAGGGTTAACAGAGGTTCACAGACAAGAACAGGCTGGTAGGAGATGCTGACACTGCTAGTAAGAAATGCATTTTGCCCTTTCATCTTAGTACCACTCACTAGAACAATTTGGAGAAGCCTTATTGTACTTTACTACTAGTAAAAATAAAGCTCTAGTTTTACTTTTTCTTTTAACAGGAATCCTAAATTTTGCAGAAAAATTCTATTCTAAACAGCCAAAAAGACACCATAATTCTCCACTAAAATATCACTGTATGAGTTTAAAGATGAAAATTGTTATCCCAGTCTTATAACCTGGAGTAATGGGCACTGGTTCAAGCAGGATTATTAATGGATTAATCTCCCAAGAAAGGAAACATGGAAGAAACAAAAGGCACAGAAACTGTATCAGAGAGAAGGCAGGGTGAGAGTGGTAGGTTTGAATGGGGAATATGTCTCATGTTTGGCAGAACAATATACTGTTCCTGCCAGAGACTGTGAAGTGGTTTAGTCAGCAAAGGAAAAAACAACTAAGTATAAAGATGTTCAAACTCGGACAGTACTGACTTTCCTCTGTTCTAACTGATTTTTCTGACATTTTGATAAAGACTATGAAACTCAGTGACAAGCATGGCACGCCTGGAATCTCAAGCTACAAAATAACAAAGATATAATTTCATGAATAGACTAACATAATTTATTTTAAAAGGGAAACCAAAATACATAATATACAAAATGCAATATATTCGACACAAGTATAACAATTTAAATTACTTGATACCTGACTATGTGATATTTACTTGTATATTAGTCTTTTGCAGCAAACTGGGACTCAGTATAAAAATATTCTCAGACTTATTCTCTTCAGTGTGCACAGGATGCACTACACTAAGGACAAACTCCTCCATTCCTGTAAAAACCCAAGGAACAACTATTAAAATTCCAAATAAATTCAGTTTTCATTCCTCACAAGGTAAACAAGATTAGAGTATTATTATGATAGAATCCGAAAGAATAAAAATCATTAATCATTTTTAAAGCATGCTTCAAGCTTACACTTTCCATGTAAAGAAGTATCAGTTATGTTAAATGCTGTATATAGAAATTAAATGGTATATTGGCTAACTAAATTCCGTAGTGGACAGTTAAGACAGCTACAGCACAGGACAGTATTATCCTTGCCTTCTTTAAAAGATAGATGTATACAGTCTCTGCTTGTCATCATCCACGGGTGATCATCAGTACTTGAATCCTGCAGCCAAGAACTGAAAGCACATTTAACATCATCTTCATGTATATCTTTATGCTAAATAGGAAAAAGGAAAGATGTAAATAAAACAAAACTAGGTGTAAATAAAAATCTTTTCCTCCTATGCACAAGGCATTTGTTTCTTTTATGGCAGTAGAGAGATAAAAGAAAATATAGAAGTTTTAGTAATTTAGAAAAGACCATTTTGCCAACAAGCACAATTTCTACCACCTGCTCTATGGGAAGCACCTGTCTAGCCCTTGTACAGCCACAGTTGAATCTCTAAAGATTTTATCTTCGGAACACGGATGTGAGGGCAAGGAAAAGCTTTTATTTTTGTTTTACTCATCTGTCTTGCCAGACCCAAGGGCACTGCTCAGCTCCTGGGTTTGAAGGTATGCACCAATATTGACCTGAGACTTATTTGAGGTGCTTGTTACCCGCCTCCCTTCCCTGTATACCCTTTTCCTATATAAGGAACCCTGGGCTCATCCAATTCAGGGGCATCACCAACAAACTTCAACAGGCAGGCAAAGTGACTTATCCCAGATCACCTAGATAAATGGAACAGGAGAAGAAATTGAGTCTAGATCATGTATCTCCTGGCTAAGCTCCTAATCAGAGAAGCAAAACTCCTGTCTAGAAAAGGGGAATCAATGAAGATTTTGGAAGCAGTGTTAGAAAGGAAAACTAAAGCTACTGTCATAATTGTTTCTGCATTTGTCTGGTTTTTTTTCAAGAACTAAAAAAACTTCAACTGAATTAGAAAGGAAAGCCAGAAATCTGTATTCAAAACATATAAAAGCACACATAACTACTTTTTCTTTACAATTTTAGCAGATTACTGCTGGAATATCACAGAATCTTCTCAGTTGAAAGGGACTCACAAGGATCATCAAGTCCAACTAATACTTCTTTGATGTCCAACAAGAAAAAATATGCAGTTCAACCATTTTTCTGTAGGTAAGAAACCAAATTAAAATATTGGGGATAAAGAACAAACCTGCATAAGCCTTGTTATGATGGCAAGTGCTGTACTTAAAGCTTTGAGGGGCAGCTAACATAGGAAATAATCAGGCCAGTGTTACATAGTAACAAGCATACAGTACTTTACAGAGAAATACATCATTCCAGAGCTACATCTTATGGACTGTGAGAACTGATACTAAGTATGTTCTTACTGTCACAGATGCTCATTCAGAATGTGTCCCTCTTACAGGAAAACCAGAGGGATTCAATGATATAACTCTAGAAGATTAAATCTTTAGCATGAGGAAAAGAAAAATTAAAAGAAAGTCAAAAACTAAACAGCACATTATAATTATGATAATTTCACTGCAACTGTCTTTCTTCGGAAATCCACTGGGCACTGGAATGTCTGGAGAATATAAGGATGTCTTCACCCGGAAGACTTAAACTGGATATTTGTATGATTGTTTTTTGTGTTTGTTTTCATAGGCTTAAATGTATACACTTCAAATTTGCTAGGTTTGAACCCATATTAATGTACTCAAATGAGGGTCTGATGCAAAATTGTTATTGGTTATTGTTGCTATTTTGACAGTATTTATGTTTGAGACCTAATTTAACAGAAAATTTATCTTTCCCCTACCAATGCCATTTCTCCTTCATGTCAACATCCTTTTTAACATGAAAGATATCAGAAATTCTCACAATTTGAGAAAATGGAAGATCCTATGATTTAAAATGTGCTATACAACATTCCTCTAACAGCTTCAGGAAACAAAAAGTCAAAATTTAGAAGTCCTGTTTCCTCCACCCTCTGTGACCTCTACCAGTTCCTTTAAATAGAAAATTTTTACAATTAGCATGCTAAACTAAACTATTTGAAATATCTACCAAGTCTAAACCAAAATTATACAAAATACTAGATAAGCCCTGTTTAAGTAGATCATAGCAACCTATTAACTTTAACATACACAGCCAAAAGAAAAAGCCAGGAATTATACAAAAAAAGAAATTCCTTTGGAGTTATGTCATACACAACAGACAATTTCCAAACCATCACATAACAAATTAAAACAAATAAACATAACCCCCCCTCAACTTGACCAGAGCAACATTACCAGTTTTCCAATACATGAACAAATATGTGACCAAGAATATCAACTCACTAAGTTCTGTTTGGGTTGCAGCATAAGAGACACGGGAATTTTAGGAATAGATTCAACTGACTGAATTCGGACTGCTGAGTGTATTTCAATACTTAGTTTTTTTCTCAGACCATCGGGAATCTGAAATATTTTAAACAAAAGGAAGTATTAGAAAGTAAAACAGTTATAACATTGCATATATCATACAAAGAATTTCTCCATCACTAATAAAACCTCTACATTTGATCATTGATCTGTTCGTAATCTGTAAGAGAATTAAGAAGGAAACCATAAAATTGATGGTGGTACCAGACTCATTCTTTCATGCACACTTCTGATTACCTTTTATGCTATGCATTAAAGTGCTCACTACAGCTGATCTTCTTCTAACTTCTTTAAATAAAAACCAAAAGCTTGAAAAAAAAGATTTAGGAGGAACTCTTAGAATGTTGTAAGAATGCTTTTAGTATTGGAGAAAAACAGCAATGCTATTTTCATTTGCTGATTAAAATTAATTTTACGTGGGCAGGTAAATATACATAGGCCATTACAGAGACCAGAACTAAGCACGGCTGCAGCACAGAGAAAGAAAATCCAGTCTCCCTAAATCCTACTAGTCAGTTTACCCTTTTAAAAATAAAACTCCTTTTCAATCATTCTGTGTTATTTTAAACTTATATCCAAATTGAAAACATTTCATAAATATGTATTAAGTCTGAGAGACTTTATGATTGGTGGCATTTGGAAAACTGTTATGTCTCTCAAAAGATTTCATGGCAAAGACCACTGCAGGCTCTTGCTCTCATTCTTAACAGAGCAATAAGTGAATGGTGAGAAGTGTATTATGTCAAAATAGTCAAACGGTGATTTGGAGCACATCTTATTTATTTTTGTTAATCCTACATGTGCTTCCAGGAAAGAAAGAACATAATCAGGCAGTAGTTCTGCCAGAACAACCTGAAATATCAGTATCTCCACACCAGGACTTGTGCCACCTTGCCAAATGGCATATAAAAACTAAACCAGTGTAAATTATATAAAAACCAGTTATTTGATATTAATTTTTAAGATGTATTTTAAAGAGTATATAAAAAGACTCGCAAACATCATGTAGCACCTGGGATACGTGATCCCATTACTTTACAGTTTGATGACCCCTAGAGCGCAAGGCACATTTCAAAGTGCTAAGTGATGGTAAGAGCCTCATTTTGCAGTACTGAATGTATGTAAATAGATACTTCCACTTTCTCATGAATACAATAGCTACCTACAGATTTTGAAACAAGCATGCATTCCCTCCAGAAACACTGAAGCACTTTCCTCATTTGGTGAATGACTGCAAAGCACAGCTCTAGTAAACAGTACTTGATTCTAGTATACTCTACTTCAGAGCTTAACACAAAGTCTATATCCCAAAACTGCACATTAAGTAGCCAGTTCCACAATTATCCAAAAGAAAATACTATCAAATAAAAGGCCCAAAAGATAGTGTGCTCAAACTGACCCAAACTCTTCCAACATGTAGGGCTTCCTCATTGTGGCCATGCTCTATGACACTCTTTAGGTCTTCAAATCCATTCCAAACGATTTGAACAACAGATCCCTCACTGGATGCTTGACTGCTATTAGAATCAGAATGACTTTTGTCTTGCGGACTAGTCAAAGGCTTTTGCTTTTCAAGTGGCAGATTTTGCTTTGCTTCTTGGTGACGCTGTCTCGGGGAAAGCAGCTCATTAATTTTCCCATAAGATACTACAGGACTTGGATCCAAATCAATAAATTCTAAATTCCAAGGAAAAACATGAATAGCATTGCATTTCAGAAATGCATGAGTGGCGGATGCATTCTGTACGCTGGGAGGCTGGGACTGACATACTCTAAAAATGGAATCCATGTGAATTAAGTTCAGCAGCTTGTCTTTGAAGGTGCTCATTTCATCTTTATCACACAAAGTCTTTTGTTTCTGCAAAGATGTATGAGAGAAAATGTTCCCCATGAAATTCCATATATTTGGGAGAACATTTGAGCCAAACGTCATGTTTGCATCAGCCTTACTCTGTTCAAGGATTCTAGGCTTTAAGTAAGGTTGTTTGGCAAAAGGATCCTTTACTGTTTCTTCTTGCTCCATGTTATTTTTCACAAAATTTCTGAGTAAGATGTCATTTTCTGTGGAAGGTGTGCTGGTGACATTCTCCTCCGGTCCATGTGTTTTGGGACATACCAGAAGCTCCGTGTATGGTTCTAATCTCCCATATGGGGCTGCTGGCATAAGTGTACCTAAGTATGAACAAAACATGCCAATGAATGCATTCACTCCAGCAAAACACCTTCCTGGAGGTGCCACGAGAGCATTCAGATCTGCTTACCGATTCTGATGTAAACATGAGTGTGCTGTTCAATCCATACGGGAAAGATGGCTCTTGGAAATACTACTCGAATCTGGTCCAGAAGATGTTTTTCAAGAGAGCAAGCATGCAGCTCCTGGGAAAATTTGATATCACTATAAATTAAATACTGCATACATTTTTTAGCATTTGTTTGAAGATAAAAACTGTACATCTCTTTCTAATAAACCATTTGAAATATAAAATATAACTAAACCCCATATTTAGTATTTCCTTACGGGCTGAAAAGAATGGGGCATTGTAAACTGCTTGTGTCAGAACCTCCATCATCTGTAAGACAAAGACATGAACACTAGAAAGGGTTTTATTACCAGAATTTCCCAATCATCTGCTGTGAGTGGTTCCACTTCTACTTGCTGACAGGAGGAGACATGGGAACAGGGTTCAAGAAATACCTGACAAAAGTAACACCAAAATATTTAACTTCTTATTTTTAGGCATATAAAAGCTCCATTTTTTATTTCAAGTAGAAAATTGACATCTCCTTCATTATACGTTTTCAGTACTTGGAACATACATCATCTTAATGACACCAGGTAATTCATAAACAGATTAATGCTCAGTGGATTGGAAATGGATGGCATTGGGCACACTTGGAGACTTCAACAGACCATGAATGGAATGAATGTGAAAAGCATCAAGAGCTTGATCACCTGATAACAAACAATCAATTTTTAATACACCTTGATCACATAATCATCTTTACATTTTTTATTCTTTATTTTTAAATGTACAGGACTTTAGAAAGCTGAAAAATTCATTGAGTTGTGCACAAATTTAGACAAGGCAACACCAGCTGAAAAATTAGGGAAAAAGTACAATATAAAACAAGCCCAGGTCCTTTATGAATGGTTTCATAGGATGCAGCCTCATCTCCACAGAACAGTTTTAATGTCCTGTGTATCAGGAACAATGATAAAAGCTATTGTGGCTTAGGTTTTTCAGACTGCATTAAACACGTATTTCAAAAGTCATTTTTTACCAAAGGTTTCATTTGACAAAAAATAATAATTTTCAAACAACATCATGTCGTGACTTTTTAAACAAACTTTGTTATTTTTTTCTTGAGATAAAACTAGTTACCTGCATTGTGTGAGAGAGAATTATATCAGGTCACCTTTTATAAAAGTAGCAATCGATTTTAAATTCCTCTAAGCCCTCAGTCTGAAGTAAAAATTGAGAGGAATCTTTTCCCCAACATGGCAAATAGAAGATCTTACTGTTATGAAACACAGCAAACACGCAATTCCTGAATCCAAAATAATGGCAAAACTACCTAATTATTCACGTATTCATTCGATTGTACAGATGATTACTTCCAGGCAACAGCCGAGTGAGGTTTTCTTGCGTTTCCTTTGTCCATTGTTTTCCTGTTGAAGGCTATTAATTGTTAGTACTGACATGGGTAGATACCTTGCTGCTGAACTATTAAATTAGAAATTTCTGCAAAGAGACACATAATTTCTTGAGAAAATACGTTAAAACAGTAAACAAGGTAAGATAATACACTGCTCTGAATGACATTCTTTGATGCCTTCCACTATGCCGAATAAAATTTTGCATATGAGAGAACAGGCATATATGAATATACTACACAATAACACAGTGTAGAGCAATACCTTTCTATTCTTGTTTGTTTAAATCTCCACCTATTAATACAAAAAAATCCCTTGGGTTAAGAGGTTTTAGTAGTCCCATGTCATAAAACTCTGCCTGCCTCTTGGGCATCTCTTCAACTTCTGCCCAATGACAGAGTGATTTACGAGAGGTTTAACAGTGTCCAAGAGTAAGAGATGAATTTAAATATACATTCAAAGAAAGAGGGTACATGGTGACATATGGTGAAGAGGTAGAAAAAGGGATGAAAATTTAACTCCCAAATAAGTTAAACAAGAAGAAATATGCAATAAGTCAATAGTTACTTTAAAACAACAGGAACTCCTAGCAAAATATTCCCATTACCAAATTGTTCAATTGCCTACAAGTGTATTTTCCTAAAATTAATGGCACTGAGAATAGCTGTTCCATCCCTGCTAAGACCTACCTACAAGCATTATTTAGGCAATAGTTAATGATTTAATGAGAAAATCTTTTCATGTTTGAAACATTTCAGGATAGTTAATGTTTCTCATGAGCAGACATAAATGCAGTAACTGTCTAAATACATCAAACAAGAAGGTCATAGCTAACTCATAAAGTATTGCCTTTCAGGTATCCTGCAATACATTCTTTATTTAAATAAGAACAAAAAAAAATGCATTTCAAACCTGTTCTCCATCTGTGATGCCAAGTTTCTCTGCTAACTGTCTGTTAATCTCTGCAATATTTTCATCTCGGTGACCTCGATGCCTCATTTCCATCCAGCTCAAAAATACTGGCTGATGACCATAGGACACTTTCACAGCTTGGCCCTATGAGTTCCAAAGAAATAAAATAAATTAACATAAACCAAGCTAAATAACATGGCTATTAGACAACCTAAACTGTGTTTAATTAGAGAGATCAAAGGAATTAAAAACATTTTCTGGATTTTACAATTTATTTGCACAACTCTTAACACAGAAGTGCATGTTGGTTTCAACTCTTAAAACAGTTTTTTATTTTTATGGACTATTTTAAAGTAACAAAAGTAATTCTTCCTTCTGCATTATATGGTATTAAAAAATATCTTACAGAAAAGTATAACTACACAATTGCATTTCCAAAATGAGGGGGAAAATATGCCTAAATTTCATAGGAATTATAACATTTGCATGGTCTCCAAGAGTGCTTTCATGACACATTTAAAATAAGTCACAAATCGTATTAACTCAGATCAAAATGATCTTATCAATCTGTTTTAGAACCATTCAGGTATTTTGATCCCAAACTGAAGAATCTCAACATGTTCAGTCAGTTTCCATATAGAGAGACTGTATGTTATACTGTATCATTCAACTGGTATTTTCTGTAATTTTTTCAAAAGTTATTATTTTTGCGAAAATTTAGTGACGAAGAGACAATGTACACTGTGAATATACCACAGATTTACTTGTTAACACAGTGATATTTTCTGTTCTGTTCTCAACTGTATTTTAAAAATTTCCAATATTATTTGACTTTTTTTGTAAACTCTGAAAATATCTTCAGAGAAGATACAAAATGGTTCCAAGACCCTTTTACCAAAGGTAATATTTAATTCCCTGTACCCACAGATAACAATCCTAAACATTCACTGGTCAGATTATGTCACTAATACATCTGTTCTAGAACAGGCAGCAGTCACAAGTATAGAGGCCATGTTGCTGAGAACACAGCTGTGCTGGGCAGGGCACATCTCCAGGATGAAGGACCACCGCCTCCCTAAGATCCTGCTTTATGGTGAACTTGCCACTGGCTGCCGCAAGAAAGGAGCCCCCAAGAAAAGATACAAGGACTCCCTGAAACAACATCTCAGCCTTGGCCATATTGATCAACATAACTGGTCTACTCTGGCCTCCAATTGGGAGGTCTGGAGACACACCATCTATAACGCTGCTGATGCTTTTGAGAACGCACGCAGGATCACCCTCGAGGAGAAAAGACAACGCAGAAAGAATCGTGCCTTGGAGAATATACCATCTAAGGAGTCTTTCTGCTGTGCCTTTTGCAACCAGACATGCCTATCTCGTATTGGCCTTTTTAGCCACCAACGCGCTTGTAACAAACGTGGGTAGAGCCCTTCCCAAATCTTCGTTCGCGAAGCCCAGCCATGATCCACAGATAAAGCTTCTCCCCCAGTGTCTAATCTTTACACAGCACTGAGTTTTATACACCATTTTGTCACTCACTTATCTAATACCTTCTGCAATGAGATTTAGCTTTTGATTCCAGTTGAGTCTATTGTTTACTCAGTGCAATCTATTAACATAACTATTTACTCCCTTTTTAACAGTTTTATTAATGAGGTGTTTTTAATACGCAACCTCTATCAAGTTTTCAGAGATCATATCTTTTCATTTTACTGCTCAGGTTAAGTAAAAGCAGGAGCCCACCATAACCACCGATGTACAGAATGACCCTACAAGATCTCAAAGCAATTGCACTCCTCCCTTCTCTCTCTTGCCAGCAAATCTGTAAAACATTCAGAAACTGCAGCTGAAATGAAGCTCACATTTATACTGCATTTCTCGCAACTCTGCCAACCTCTTTCTACCACCACAAAGAGCAGGTTTTTACACGTCTGGATTATCTTGCTGTTGGGAAATGCCCTTTTCGGCCTTGGGAAATCCGGAGGTTACCCCGCCGGGAGAGGGAGCCTGGGGCTGTGCCAGGGCTCCTGAGCTCTGCTCCCGTCTCCTCCTCCTCGCCCGGCTCATTCCTGCCATTTTCCACCCTGTTCTGCTGGCAGATCCGTAGTTCTGTGTTCATGGCACAAGGGACAAAAGCAGGCTCTGCTCCCGTTTCCACGTGTGTAATGTTATTTACGAGCGGACCCGCGTCCTCAGCTCTGCGTGACGGGAGCCCCCTTCTACAGCGACACATTTAATTTATGTACACTAACAACGAGGATTCTGCATGGACTGACCACCTCACCTCCCACCTCGATGATAAATTCACATCTTATCAATGCAGGGCTAATGCTGGCGAGTTACTGTGAGAGCTAACATGAAACGGAGTACTGAGAGAGACGCGGATGCTCACGGTGCCAGACCACGTTGGGGGACATAATTTCCAATCTTTCCCGTGTTTTATTAGGAATGGATGACAACGCCGGGCTGCGCAAGGGGCGAGAGAAAGGGGGTTCCTCGGGGTCTCCTGTGAGGGGTCCCTGGCCGCGGGGAGGGGAGGAGGGCACTGCGTCGTCATGGCAGCGGGATGCGGGGGAGGATGGAGTGCGGGGCGGATGTTGCGCTCCCGTAATCCTCACCGCCCACTTGGGGCGTCCCTCCGCCCGGGCCCCGAGCGGCGCCGCCCCGGTACCTGCTGCAGGCGGAGGAGCGCGGCCAGCGCGGGCGGCAGGTGCAGGAAGCAGTCGCGGGTCCCGCTCAGCACGACGGTGGCGGAGGCGGCAGCTCCGCCGGGGTCGCCACAGCCCCACATGGCCGCGGCCCCTCAGCCCTGCGCGCCCGCTGTGCCCGGGCACGGACCCGCCCATCGGGGCGGAGTCCCCCACCCCCCCTGGGCAGTGGTACGGCCCACCGCCGGCCAATGAGAACGCGGCATATGCCCCTGCCCGCCTCTGATTGGCTCCTCCTCTCCCCCCTGAGGACGCCGGCCGTGTCGGTCCCGGCGGCAGCCAATCAGGGCGCGGGGCGCAGGGGCTGATGGGAAGATGGCGGCGGGCGGCCCGGGCCCGGGCGCTCCCTGTCGGCATCACGCGCAGCTGGGCGCGTGCGAGTCGCGCGCCAAGTACCGCGAGGGGCGGCGTCCGCGCGCCGTGAAGGTTTGGGGGGGAGGGGCGGGGTCGCTGTGGGTGAGGGGGACGCACGGCCGGGTCGGGCTCGGGCCCCGCGGCTCCCGGGAACGGGACGGGGAGGAGAGGAGAGGGGAAGGGAGGCCGTGGGCCTCGCCTGCTGCACCGCAGGAGCTTCTCGTTACCGCAGCAGAACTGCCGGGTTTGGGGTTTTGCGTGTGCGGTCAGTGTACAGCGAGCTGTAGCGGCACCTTATGGGACTGGTGTGAGAAAGGACGATAGAATCGATAAGGTTGGACAAGACATTTAAAATCGTCAGGTCCGGTGCCCACCTGGCTCCAGCTTCCTCTCAGGGAGTTGTAGAGAGCAATAAAGTTAACCCTGAGCCTCCTTTTCTGCAGGCTAAACACCCCTGGCTCCCTCAGCTGCTCCTAACAGGACTTGTGCTGCAGACCCTTCTTACCCCGCTCTCAGGACTAACTGCAGCACCTCACTGTCTTTCTTGGAGTGAGGGGCCCTGAAAGAAAACAGGGTTTGAGGTGCGGCCTCATCAGTGCCAAAACAATGGTTACTCCCTGCACATACACATAAGGCACGTCTTTTTCTCAAACACGGCCCTCCTGAAAACTTTCAAACCTTCTGTGTTTCATGAAGTCTCAGAGCTGTTCCTTTACTGTTCCAAGAGTATGCCATGGGCCGGGGACAGAGAGCCTAGTGTATCCACACAGGGACAAAGGCCACTATAGGCCAGCCATCTCTGGGCACCAGACGATACACACAGGAGAAACAGTATGGATGTCCCAGGTGTGAAAAAAACCTTATTCGAATCTCCTCTCCCTAGACATGAGATCAATCATATTTCAATCCATTTGTTCCCAGAATGCAGGCAGGGAATATGCTGCTGTCACAAGAACAACTTAGGAGGCTTGTCTGTGGAGACTGTTTTTTATGGTGGTAGTTTGAGAGCTGATTTCCCAAGCGATTCCTGTTGTTGTCCAGAATTTACTCTTTTTTTTGGTTTTGTTTTTAATATGTAACTTATGCTGTCTAAATATTTGGTTTTTTCTTTTTTTTTAACAAACTTGGAAAGAATTTCCTTTGATCTCAGGGTTTAACTCCCTGTTGTATGTAGTGAGCTGTCACAGAGCTTTCCTTAGAGTCTGTGCTGCTGGACAGTTCACAAAGCAGAAGGAAGTGGTTGATTTAGTTTTTAACCTGCTGGGAAAAGACCTTGTTTCCCTCTGCATCCAGATTTTATCTGTGTGCCGTAAAATGGTAAGCTGTTGGATCATCGTAGCAAGGAGACAGCTCTGCACACACACCATCTGCCCCAGAGAATTGCGATACTTGTTTTTTTTCCTTTGTGAGGAGAAACCCAGTTTTCGTCACTTGGATGATCGCTCTGCTTGTGAACAAGACAGGTTTTTTAATGTTTTTTTTTTCTGTACTTTGACAGTGTCTCTGACAAACCAGTTACTAGTCAGTCTTGCATGGAAGCTGGCCAGAGGCTAGAGGTTTTGCTTAGCAAATGGCAGTACTCTGACCTCGTGCAGAAAAGTCAGCTCTCATTTGTGTTTTGCTTTGAGTGAGAAGCTTGGGTTCAGTTCCTGCTCAGTGATGAGGAGGTCCCAGATAACCATGCACTTATTGCCCTACCAGAGTCCAGAGTCAAAGTAGTCAAAGTAGAGTACACAGGGATTTTCCTGAGAGGACTTGGAGGAAAAACAGAAAACATGGAAAAAATCCCTGCCTTTTGCAATACAGCAAGAATGTGAACATTTTTGAATACTCTTTGGTTTTGTTTTTTTTTCAGGTTTACACTATCAACTTGGAATCTCGCTATTTACTGATACAAGGAGTTCCTGCATTAGGTGTTATGAAGGAATTAGTTGAACAATTTGCATTATATGGTGCCATTGAGGAGTATCATGCTCTAGATGAATATCCAGCAGAGCAATTTACTGAAGTGTATCTTTTAAAATTCCAAAAACTGCACTGTGCAAGGTATTGGACAGGGCAATATCTGCCTCTTGTTGTCTTACTCTTTTATACCTTCTGTAGTTACAATGTGTTAAACTTCTAGAGAGTTGAAGTAAAATCCTCAGTTCTGCCAATACAATTTAATTCCTTTCAGGGTGGCCAAGAAAAAAATGGATGAACGAAGTTTCTTTGGTAGTTTGCTGCATGTGTGCTACGCTCCAGAATTTGAAACAGTCCAAGAAACTAGAGAGAAGTTGCAGGATAGAAGAAAGTATATAGCAAAAGCAACAAATCAAGGAGGTTTGTGATTATATTTCCTAGAGAATCTTAACATCTTTCTTCAGGGGTGGGTGGGGTTTTGGTTAAAGAGCCTGTTAAACAAAATACTTTTTATCTAGCTGTAAAAGATGTATTTTAAGCATGTTTACAGTATAATGGAGACATCTCTCAGTATTTAGAGAACTGTATCCTTTTCAAAGCAACTTTTCAGTTTCAGTTAAGACTAAAATACAGAAATGCTTAAGCTTTAATAATGAAGTATTTCCTTCACTTTTTGGGGTTTTTTTCAAAATGTTATCAGAAATTTCAAGCACTAGTAGGAAATCTAGGATGATATTTTCACCCTTGTTCCAGCTTATTCAGACCTGCCCAAAGGGACAGCTTTGGAAGGAAGGTGACTGTACCAGAACTTTCAACAAAAAATTTCTCCAGCCTACATCTTGGCACTGGGGCAGTTAGGAATGGACTGGGTTTACAAAGGCTCCTGTACTGCAGAGCTCCCAGGCAGCACTGAAGGTTGGACAAGATGAGGAATAAGCAAAATGCTGAGTACAAGCTTCTCCTTTCTTGTGCTCGTGTACTTGGGTATCACTATTCATTGTGTGAGGGTATTTAAAGGGAGTAAAACCAGTGATTTTTAACATCAAAACACCTGGTTGTTTTCAATTTTGCTAGACAGCCTGTCCTTGAAATCATAAATGGAGGTAAAAATCACCAATTTGCTGTTAGGAATATTTTCCTTCTGTTCTCAAAACTGTGGAAATACTTCTGCTCAGGCATTCCTCGTAAACCAGCAGAGGAACTAGGCTGGAAAACTAGTTTGAACAGTACCACTTAAAAATCACAGAAAGGTGCCTGGGAATGGAATATCACTGTATTACTTCTGCAGTTGTATTAAATATTTCTTCTTATTTTTTAGAACTAATAATGACATGAAATAGTGAAGCTGGTTTTTTTGTTTGTTTTAAAGATTGCTTTGTGTTAAAGAAAGTTGAGGGCCCGAAGAAGACAGTTTCAGAGACCTCTGAGCATGACTGCCCATGGAGTACATCAGGATCATATGCAGCCAGTAACTGGAATCCATCCTGCTTTACAAGTTCTCATGGGGTATCCCAAAACACAGGGCATCCATCTGGGAATCATAATCAGAGCTTGTTAACATCCCCACATTATGATAACAATTGTGCTGAAGCTTCTGGGTACTTTGGCCAAAACACATCCCTAATTCCCAGTGTACATCTAGGAGGATGTACTCCACCAGCTTCCTTAATGCAGCAAAGAATGGTTCCAACTTACAGTGGAATTGACAGGTTTATGCCTCGTACAACTCACTTGCAAGAACGTAAGAGGAAGAGAGAAGAAGGTAACAGGTTTTCCCTCCTTGGAACAAATGCGGACAATACTGAAGTCATTATTGGTCCACAACTGCCACAAATGCCTAAAGTGGATATGGATGATGAGTCATTGAATACTTCAGCTACATTAATTAGAAATAAACTGAAAGAGGTATGGGTTCTTAAAGTTCTGATAGTTTCAAACATATGTGCTTGTTACTCATAAAAACAGCAACCCTCAGGTAACTTAATTCCGCATTCACTCAGTATGACCAGTTTCTGTGCCAGTTAAAGCTAGCATTCTTGCTCTTTAATGCTTCCATACTCTAGAGTATTGCAGACAATTCTACTCCATACCTCTTACACTACTCTTAAGAAAGTATAAATGTCTGTGCACAGTCCTAAATGATTTTCAGTAAACCACTGGTTTTTTTTCCAACGTGTGGGGGCATGGTAACTGTGCAGGTAGTCCTGCTGACTCCAGCGTGGTGCTTTTATCTGGTTTCTGATTGAAAGGGAGTGAAAAATAATGGGAGTCGCAGTTCAATGTAATTTTGCCTCAGCACTTCTTATCCCATTAAAAGCTGTACAGAAGCATTTATTCTGTGCTGAGAAACATGAGTTAATCCAAATAAACATTTACAGAGGGTATTAATTAATTAGCAGGTCAAACACTCCTGATAAAACTTTCCATTTACATTAAGATATGAAAAAGCTCCCTTGACTATGACTAGCTAGACTGATTTGAAAGAGCTTATATCTCCAGTCACATTTGTAAATAAGCACCACTTATATTAAATACATTTCTAAAATATGTGTCAAAATGCACATTTTTGCTTTCCCTTCCTTTCCTGAAAGGAAACTTTCCGAGTTTACAAAGCACACTCAACCTTACTGTGAAAACACCTCTGGTAGGAAGAAGGTGCTCTATCACTAATGCTCTATCACTGAGTATCTGTAATCAGTTTCTCTGGTTAAATACAAAAATGGTACTGCTGACTCTTCTAAGTTTAACCTCTATTGTGTTTAATTCTGCCTTTGGTGTTATTTTTTTCCTCTATGCAGCAGGAAAATTCAATTCCAGCATGATTATAGTAATACATCCCTCCCAATACTCAAATGTTGGAGATGTGGCCTTACTCTAAAATAAGGATAAAAAGGTAGTGGTTACAGGTTACTAATTTTTTTTTTCCTATTTAGGTAGCAGATTCTGTTTCTGTGGAAAAGCCAGAGAGTAGATCAGCCAAACCAGTTGTAAAGCAGAGAAGAAGAATATAGACACTGCTGGCAGGATCTTCCAACAGTCCTTTTATAAAGGATATAGTTTAAAATATTTATTTTTTATGTAAAAAGTAAAAATTTTTTTACACTGTATTTCCAAGAGATTCTGTTAAAAATTGTATCAATTTGTTTCTTGGAATGGACAAACCACTATAATATATTATTGTTGCAATGTTGTCTTGTGTACCTTATACTTTAACATATTTCCTAACACTGAAGAACTTTATTTAGGTAGAGTCATGGAAGTAAATTCTATTTATGCTGTAAATTTTACAGTAAAGGAATACTGAAACAGTAATTTCAAGTTGCTCCTATTTTTACTGTATCATGAAGAGTGGTGAAGAAAAACACCCTTCACAACAGTATTCAACAACGGAGTTACAGTTTACGAGTGTCCGGGAAAACTCTCTCTTCAAATGCAATCCTGCTCTGTTTAAAAAAAAAAAAAAAGAAAAAAAGAAAAGTAAATTTTCAGTTAACGAAAGGATTTATATTTATTGAGAAAATGTACTGGACTGAAATGTGTATGCAAGGAATAGGATACCTCTTGCTTTTTAGCTTAGAAAAGGTAAATCCATAGCACTAATGGTGTCACTGCTGGGAGACCAGTCAGAACATCTAAAGTTATAGTTGAAGGGGAAATTCGAATTTTAACTGCTCAGCAGCAGGAATGTGTGACCAAGGAATGACCTAGCATGGAGGGCAAGAAGACCCAGCTGCAGAATGAGGTAAATGGGCTGGAAGTAGGAATGCTAGAGACTGGGATGACAATGTAAAGGAGTGAAATTTCCCTTGGTGATGAGATTTAATATCTGCAGCATTGTGTTGCAACAACCCTGGAGTGGGAGTGCTCAGGGGTCACCTTTGGGCAGTAGAACTGGCACTGGGGAGATGAATCCAGCACCAGGCTAAGATGCCCCATTCTGACATTCACAGGATTGGTGCTGGTGCAAGTGTACGTAAGGAACTGGCTCGTGCCACATCTTTGCAGGCTCCTTGCAGAACCATTTACAGTGGCAGGACTCTGTCAAATACACTAATCATTACACAAATGAGTGTTTAATTTGGGGTAGAATTAAAATTACAATAGCCCCAGTGGGAAATCTAGTAAATTATGGGTTTTCTTCATGTAAAGCTCATAGCTGAAATTTATTTTAGGGCTTGAAAGGACATATAAATATTGTTCTCTTTTAAAAGTGAAACTAAAGACCTAGGGGAAAAGCAGCAGTTGGGTAGGATAAAGAACAGAAGGCACAAATGCTCTAAGCAAGAAACAAACCAAGTTTTCCACCTCTTGCCATGATTAGCCTGAATTGTGGGCCTGGTTTATCACCAACACTGACAAAAGAAGTAATTTTTCCATGCTGATTAATGACAGTGATTTTGTTCAGAAACTTTAAAACCTTTTCACTGGTGTTAAAAAACAGAGTACTTACTTTGGTTTTCCCAAACCCTTTAAAGTCTTTTGACAGCCTGCCAGGAGAAATCTGGCATTTTGGGAACAGCTGCTTTGCAGCTGACATGATGTAATGTAGCTTGCCATTGTGGCTATAACACTCTTTCTTCCTCTCCTCCAGCCTACAGGTGGGTGAGCTGGCAGGAAGTACAGGTTTCCAGCAAAGGAAAACTTGCCATGTTCTCAGCAGTCTTATACAACTCTTCTGTTTCTAGGAATCACTGTGCATATTTCAAATTTTATTTTGCTGTCTCTATGAAGCTACAATTTTCAGTATTTAAAAGTCACACACAGCTCAAATAGAATGACAATTACTGGATTAGGAAAAAAAATAGAGCAGAAACTCCCTCCAAAGTAGAATTTAACACTAAGGAAATGAGCATGGTCTAAATTACCATCTTCAAAAAAAAAAAAAATTGAATTAGACATATTACTGATAAACAAAGCCTGGTTAGATGAAATTACGAAGCAGCAGTGCCACACTCTCAAAGGAAGAACTCTCAAGGTGGGTGTTTGGTTTTTTTTCCAGAAAGTTACCAGCCTCTCCCAAAAGACACTGTGAGGTGACAGTTAATGCCATAATACACGTCTCCTTACCAACAGAACAGAAAGTATTGCACCTTTTTTTAAACTCATACCTTTATGTCTGGCAAACATGGTCCAAAGGCTTCTAAGAGAAGATTTTCATCTTTGACTGCTTGTTCAAAGTCCGCAAAAGAAAGCTTGCCATCATGATCATAGTCCTACAAAAGGAAGGGAACACTTCAGCCAAGAGTTATTACTTGTAGCAATTGTATTTTTGTTTAACAGACGTTTTATTGACATGGATTCTATTTTTAGTTTCACTGTACACAAAATCGTTTTTTGTGGTCATCAGTCTCTGCTCAGACAAGCTTTGTGTCACTTGCCTCTACCTAAAGCAGAAGGGGTGGGTTTGAAAAATAGAGAAGACGGAGTTAAATAAAAGGAGTTGGGATTCAAAACCTGGTTTTAAGTGAAATTTTTTGACCACCACCATAGAAGGGGAGAGTATATATCTTGATTTGATTAAAATATTGAAAGACAATATCCTAGCTAATCTGGATATCCTAGATTAAGCACGGTAAGACAAGCTTCACATTAATAACCTTGAGTGTACTATTATAATAGAATATATAAATTGCATAAAGACATTTCATGAGCAATTGATAAAACACAGATGTACTTAATAATAAAGCTAATGCAGATGCCTAACGCATAAATGGAGCTTACACTTTTGAGTTTTCCACTTCTGACGGGGCTTTTGTTTTGCTTGGGTATGCACAGGTGGGTATGCACACATTCACATACTAGTTTATACATAAAGTTTATAGTACCTTCACATAGTAAACTAAGTTTCATGTGAGGATACTGGACTGGAGCTCACTAGATCTGGATTGTATTTCTGGCTTTCCTTAGGAGATTTTCAGAATCCCACTGTAAATCACACACCATATTTTGTTACCTCACAGGAAGGTTCTAAGCTTCGGTTAATGAATGTTTGAAAGACACTCAGATACCACAGTGAGTAAGTACTTGCCATTTTCTTCAGTACTATCTCTATCAAGTCCTTAATTGCCTCATCAGGGTCTTCATCTGCTGGCTGTTTGATAAGGGTGTCCTTCAGCATTTGAAACATTTCCTCTCTTGAAATGTATCCATCACCATTCAGGTCATAAACCGCAAAACAGTCTTTTGAATACAAATAAATTTCAAGTTGATTACAAACTACAATCACATACCATTAAAGGTATCTGTTACCTATAGAGAGAAAATGTGAATTGTACCTTGTACAGCAAATCTATTGAGCTAAATTTATTATATATTTATATATGTAATAGTATCACATTTTGATATTAGTCAATTAGTACCTATTTTCCCTTTATAGTTAAAAATTATTTATTTCTGCTCAAATAAATATTATTCAGTTCACAGAAACCATACTTACTTACAGATCTTATCTTATCTTAAATTGTCAATTTAAAATATAAATAAGGTTCTGGTTTAGAAGCCAAATTTCCCATAGTGGGGACCTGCTATCTCTACCAAAAGGACTTTGCACCTACAAAACACATCCTCATTTTTTCAGATGCTGGGTTAGAAAAGTAAAGGAAAAAGAAGAATGAACTGTACTGACCGCAAAGAGAAAATACCTTAAACAAAAGTATTTTGGGTATCTGCATAATTCCTCTTCTAATTGTTTCTACCTTCCTGGAATCAGAAATCTATGATCATAATAAACTTTACCAGCCTTCATAAAACTTAATTAAACAAACAAACAAAAGTCTTAAGTTAGGAACACAGGAGGTTTGTTTTTTTTTCTGACTAAGACTTTGTCTACAGTGGAAAACACTCCTGGCATACACTTGTGACAGACAACACTGTGTATCACTACACACTACTAAATTCTATAGTGCTTACAGCAGGGCTGCGTATTTTACTGCTTGTAGTGGTACTGACACATTCATTGTCCTGGGCACACATTCTAGTGCTATGGCATCCCAGGCCACTTTCCAGATGAATTTACATAGTTTGTTAGGGATGGCTGATGCTGCAAGCTGGGAACTATGGTTGCATATATAGTTCATGTTGTCATGAAAACAACATGCTGTCATTCTCCTTTTTCTTATTACCTTCCCCCCCCCATGTGCCCTATTTCTGTTTCTCTGCTTCTAAAAATTTTAGGGTTCTTGCTATTTTTTCTCCTCCACCTTTCTCTGTCACTATTGTGGAGGTTCTCACGACCATACTCTTACAGACTCAGTTTTTCCACCTATGCTTCCAAGCTGAAGAACTGCTGGAGTTAATGCATCTGCTGCTGTGTCCCCACTGTGCCAGTAAATGAATGTTGGCACTGGTCTTCGCTGGCTTGAGACTGTGCTATTTAGCCAGAATCACCCTAGAGATACATCTGCTTCTTTCTATTACTGTGTGTGAATACAAAAACATATATTTTGTCAAAACTGTATACTGTAGAATAAACTTCGGTTCCAATGCAAGTTTTTGTAAGCAACAAAATAAGGTGGCAGCTGTAACAGCGGTTTACACAGAAAAAACTCTGTCTCAGAGAAGCAATTTCAGAACTCAGTTTCATTGCATTAAACTATACAGAAGAAAACTCTTCAATTATCAAATACTTTATGAGAGTAACTATGAAATTACAGCAAAAGCAATGTTATTTGTCATGAATTCAGTGACTAACAGTAAATATTAGCACACAGATCAATCTTACATTTAATCTTCTCTTCCAATGTCCCCCGAAGTAATATTGCTAAGCCTTCCACCCACTCCACCACAGTGATGCAGCCACTGTTGCTTTTATCAAAAGTGCTGAACACTAGGAAGTGTATTAAATGCATTTTACATTTATATAATAGAGAAACAAACAAAACAAAGGAGGATTTTCTTGAATTTGTTGAAATTATAAACCCGTATTTTTTGTGAAGATGTTTGCCTGTTTTCGCCAAGGTATGATTACCCTTCTTGAATCTAAGATGTAACAATGAAAGGGATTTTGCCCCTCACTTTATTGATCTTTCACTCTAGAATCCTGCTGGCTAAGACATTTTGTTTGATCTGTTGCCTGACTAAAACAACTGCAGGAAGTATGCTTCCATGCAGATGTGAACCAAATAAACCAATACCCCTTACAATAAGGCATGTTTGCATACAGAACATTTTAATTACTAGGTTTTGTCTCAGAAAATCCTGGAGAGAGCAATCCTAGAAACAACATATAAATATGTTAAATACACAAAGAAAAATAACCTCCTGTCATGTACTAAAATCTTTTTTCTTCTCCCTTCCCTAAGCAACTTTCAATTTTCACAGAATCACAGAATATGCCAAGCTGGAAGGGACCCACATGGATCATCCTGGCCCTGCACAGGATCATCCCCAAGAGTCACACCATGTGCCCGAGAGTATCATCCAAATGCTTCTTGAACTTGAAGGAACACCGCTAATTGCAGAGACAAGCATTCTGGAATTGGAAAACGATAGGTTTGCTTTTGCAAACTGAAATCAGCACCTTTGTACATAAGCATTATTTTTAAGAATGTATACATGTAAGCTATCTTCCAAGACACATTTGACTTACTGCATAAAATGGCAACAAGTTTTTATTTTATGGCATGTAAGTACTTCTCCTGCTAGAGAGATGAAGAAAAGTTGAACCAAGGGGTGGCTCTTGGCAGCCCAAGAATGAAAGAATGGCAGATTGATGCCTGTTCTGCATCCTCCTGTAGACACCTCTACATCAGAGATCATTCATGCAACTTTCACAGTAACTGCACTTGTGGCCCGCATGTTATGAATCCGTGAAAACACTCTATTTTCAAGGGGTTACTTGGCTCATTACTCTCACCTCCCTGTACTCTCTGCCCAGTGCTTTCAGTGCTGTTCACAGTGCCTCTATCCCAGAAGTCATCCACTCTAACAGAATGCCTTTCTGGGACCTCCAGGCTCGAGCTAGAGCTGTCCACCAGCAACAGTGACCGCGGCTCCGGGTGGAAACCAAGGGAGAAGAGGCAAGTGACACGATGCTGCCCTCTTCCATGGCTGCGATAGAAACCGCCACAAGGCAGCACTAACACTGCCTCTGCCTGGTCTCCCTGGAACTAGATCGTGAGCTACCCTGAACTATGGAAAAACTATTCCGCATAATGAAAGAGAAGATGCCATTTTCCCAACAGCTCCTGAGCATAACTCCTCCTTTGCTGTCCTCGCTGGGATGAGGTGGCATTATTTTGGCTCGGTACACTCATCGGGTCAGCAGCGTGAAACCAACGCCATCCCTTCTTTTCAGAAGTCTCCGCCTCACCTCGGTCCAGGACCACGTCGTCCGTCATGCCAAAGGCGGCGAACAGGGTGTCTCTGAACACGATGCGGTTGAAGCCGGACACAGCGAACTGGCTGCAGGACCTGGCCAGCAGCGCGTCGAAGAGCTTGATCAGACATTCCACTTCGCCTTCGCTAACTGCCCGGCCCAAACACAACCAAACACAGGTTATAAGTTACGCTGGCAGAACACGGGGCAGGCACCAGGGCTTGGGCACCACTGGCGCTGACCATGACACCGGTGACCCCGACCCCGCCGCCCCGCACACCCTGTTCTTGAGGGGGCGGCAGGAAATGCGGTGCCTCCTCCCCCCACCCGGGCGAGCACAGGGACAACGGGAGGCGGTGGGGCGGCCGTGGCGGGGCTCCTGCAGCCCGGGGGACACTCACAGTGCTTGGTGGATCGGCTCAGCGATTCTGCCAGGAGCTGCAGCCTCTTCCTGCTCATGGCGGCGGGAGCCGCTCCTGCCGCCGCCGCTGCCCTGGCAACGCGGGCGGTCAGAGCGGCCTGGCGGCGCCACAGGGGCCGGGCGTAACAAACACATACACAGGCGAAACAAAGACCAACTCTTGCCACGCATTTAAAAAATAGCAGTCGTAGAAAATAAATAACTGCATTTCAAACTTGTAAAAAATGTTTCTGGAAAGAAGAGCTAAAAATTAAATACTGTATACAATACTGCTTGTTCATCTGCTGGCAGAAGGCAGAAAACTATTAAAACACTTTTATTCCGGCACCGCTCGTTTTGTACTTTGTCTCTCTGCTGAAACTTGGAACGTAGCTGTAGGTGCCACCCGAGACCCACAGCACCATCTCACATACTCACGTGTGCACATCGGCAAAGCTGAAGGGCTGAGACCACACGTAACCTTCCCTTCAGGAAAAAGAGGATCCAGAATGAGATGAAACCTATTTGTTAACATATTGCAAAATGAAGCATTTTCCTGTCAGTACTAAAGCAGCTTTGCTGGGAATGGACAAAGCCCGTAAGCCCCTTATGCAGCTACATAAACATGACAGCAGCACTTGAAGCCCACAGCTGGGCAGAACATGTAGTTATACTGAGACAATTAAAATGACATCCAGCTTAGGTATTTGGAAGACTGGGTCTCATTTGCATTTTTATTTCTTTCTGTGGCAGGTGGTTGTGCAAAAGTCAAATAAGGTTATCACAGAGGACAGAGCATTTATGCTATGGTTCATTACAAGTTCTTCTACCAAAACAGCAACACCACAATTTAAAAAGAAACCAACCCCAACAAAACTAAACACAAACCCCAAATCAATACCCTACTGTTCACTGCATCTTGCCTTTATTTTAACCTCACTGACAAAGCAGTGTCTAGAATTGGTAACATCAAGCCCAACACTATAAAATATTTGATAAAAATATTACTATAATTTAGAGGGCCATTGCTGCAATGTTGTAATGCTGCAATGGTTGTATTGCCCCAAGAACTTCAAGTCAATTCCTCTGTACAAAGGCAACATGAAATAATCTTTCTCCCATAGTTTTTAGTTATGGTTTGCAGACTAATAATCAATGTCTTAAAGCTCTTGAAATTCTTGGCAATACAATATTTGAAACATCTGTATGTAACAGAGGTAAGTTCTAAGTTAGCACCCGTGCAATGAAAAAAAGGGGTGGATCAAGAATACAATGTATAGTTGACTGCCTGGGATGGATGGGCAGTTGTTAAAAGCTAACAGAAGGCCCAGCAATCAGTATTTCAATGGAAAATATAGCGAGAATTTCATGTAAACTAAAATCAAATGGTTGCTTGTGTGTTCTTGTGTGCACATTTAATTTAAAAAAGCTTTTTTTCCAATATCTAAAGCAACTAAATTAAAGTAATCAGCTTTATGACTTAGGTTAACATTCTGTAGCCCTCAAGTACAAAAATATAAATACAAACTGTTTAAACAGTATCTTTAATGAGATTCTGGCAGTAGTTTTTTTATCTAACAAGACATGTCACGTAACAGATCTGCCACTGAACTTGCTTAGAGTAAAATCAGCTTCAATATGAAGCTGTTAAGGTATCAAAACCCTGCTTTTTACATGCTAAATATCTTCAGCAAGTGTGCACTTAAACACAGCAATGAACTTTAACTAAATACATACATGAAACTCTGCATGTGGAACATAATTCATAGAACTGGTTACAACAAATTATTACCTGCATTTTGTTAATTTAAAAATGGTACAAATCATGCAAAACAATTCTAAAGGTAATGCAAACAAAGCTACCAGTGTTTGCAAGAAGTTTTCAATTAAACCAAAAAGACATTAAATGAAATACGCATATTTACTAGCAAAGGTCTATCGCTATTTCAAAGAAGCAGAGGTAAAATACTCAGGTTTTGACTGTCAGACTGCAAAATGTCATTGCTCTTGCTTAATGCAGAAGCACATGCTTGGAAGCTCAAAACTGCTTATTCAGAAAAAGTCTGCTAACAATAGCTCTAGCTTCCCAGGAATCAGAGATGCTGCATGGATTAAAAATAGCGGAGATTTGCAAGAATCAAAGGCAAAGGCACCCTATTCAGTTAGCCAAAATGGTAGCATTCCCTTTCTCATAAGCATGAAGATGGTTAGGGACCAGATGATACACATTTCTACAAAGGCAGCCTTTTAAATGTTATTAATTTTCCATTAGCAGACACCAGCTTGTAATAGTTTAACCTGCAGGATGAACTTGGGATTTAATTTATCCTGATTTACAAATAAAGACTATTACTAATGCTTTAAAAGACTACTTTTACTATCTAAAAAGTTTAACTCTTATTTTCCAATATTTTACACCTCAGCTGGCCTACCATCTCACACTGTTTCAAACATCCATCACTGCTTACTGGAATTTTCTAAAAGTTGTACCTCATGTATTAAGCAGCAGTCAATAACAATGGTCTGTCCCAGCACAGCTGCATCTGGTTTGCTATTGAAAGATTAGAAATATTTCTAAAACACAGGAAAACTCATGCAGTTTGGTAAAGTTTGCTGTCATTTCACAGTTTAAGTTTTCTTCAGTCATTACACTTCTGTTGATAGTCTTGGGGTTTTTTAAATATTATTCTGAATCTGAATTTGAGCCAGCAATCTTCTTTTTCTTCTTTTTACCATGTTTCTTGTGCTTCTTTCTCTTTTTTGTTTTATCCTAAAAAAAATTAAATGAAAGTTATTGTATAATAAGATTTCCATCTATTACATTCTGCTAAGGCAAAATGAGAGCACAAAAAGGATATCTTTGCAAAGACATTTCAAAAGAGATTTCTACAGAAGCCCATTGAGAAATCACAACAAGAAAATTCGTATTTCACCCAGCAATTTGCACTATTATGAGAAGTCTTCAATTTATCTCCACTGTGATATGGCTATTTCACATTTCTCATCAGTGTCACCATTATATTTCCTAATCTTTTAAATGATTTTCAGTGCTTTATAGATTATTGAGAAAGTAATATGGAAGTGCTTTGACAAGCCGTGATGTTTTATATATGTGGGAATAACTCGCATGTTTACAGATTTTGAAGTAAAGCACTTAAATTCACTGTGCAAAATTAACTAGTTCAACTGCACTTGGCTAGAATCTCTAGCACTTGTACTTTGTTTAAAATAAATCAATTATAATCTCAGTTGTAAATACAAATACACTCAAATTAACCCTGCTGGATTCAGTCCTGAAGCTAATATGCTGATCCACTGTAATTCAGAAGCTGAGATGTACAATCCTGTCTTTTTGCAAGCAGAATTTCAACAGGAATTCTCAAATAGGTGTGATAGTATGCAAACGAAACAATCGGTATAAAATGCACATGTTTTTATACATATTCCTTACACATATACATCTTCTACAAAACTCCCCCCACAATCAATCACTAGAGATCTTACGGCAAAGAGTTTATATGATTCTGAAAAAACAAACAAGTTTCATCAAAAAATGTGTACTGAGTATCACTGATACTCCTATGCTGTTATTTTTAGGTGACTAATGTAAACCTTCCCTTCACTCTAACTTATCTAGACAACTGAGATGCCTAATTAGGAACACTGCTGCTGACAGGAGAGAGATTATACAGACATCTCGAGTGGGCATTTAGGATCTCAAAACCACCATACTCCTAAATAAGGAGCCTTGGCTACATGTGATAAATTTGGGTTCTATATAAATCACTGCCAAACCCTCCTTTCACTTTTATCAACAGAAACAAATGAACAAAACTGAAAAAAGTAACAGATTGCTGGCAGCTTTTTGGTTGGGGGTAGAATTATAATGGTGCAGATGTTGCAGCAATTATGTCCCAAGGCCCTTTTCATGGTGGAAGAGAGGAATTACATACAATATTAACAAAGGAACAGCACTGATGTTTGTCTGTGTGGCAAACTGCTACCCTACCCGGTACTCTACAAGTAGTAGTAGTTCTAGTAGGTTGATACAGAGTACAATTCTACCGTAAGTGTTAAACATATAAATCTCAAATCATATATAGGTAAAATAGTGACAAATTCTTCTTTAATTCCACAGCTGAAAAAAGTGACTTCAACAGGTAAACAGAGAAACTGTTAATTCAGATTCATGTGACAGTAGACTATTGCTATAAAACATATGTATTAGCGAAAAATGTGAAACTGGAAATTAACCAAGTACAGAGTATTTATATCCTGAAACTACAGTGTAAGAGGGATACTTGCTGTTTTCTCCTTTTCCTCACTGTTTTTCTTCTTTTTTGCTTGCACCTGAAGAAAAATTAAACCAAATGTAATATCCATGGAAAGTTGAATATTTTCAAGAAAATTAATTCAAAATTACTTGTAGATGACAGAAGGTGGACTAAACAATTCTTACTAAAATTTGTTATTAAAGGTAAAAATACCAAAAACTTTGAGTGTGCTGCACTCTTAAATTCCCCCGTAGAGAGCAGAATAGATTCAACAATATACTCAATCTAAGCTAGTTCATTCATTTACTCAGGTGAATCAGTAAGCTACAAACACTATAACATCTGAAATTGAGGTTTCACTGACCTCCTCTGTCTGATCCGATTCAGATACAGATTCTGATGATAAAGGTCCATCACCACGATCTGCTTTCTTCCTTTTCCTGTGGTGATTTTTACCTTCCTACACAGAAGTAATATATTTGTGAGTAAAGTCAGGCCTTTCAAATTTCATAAAAATTCTGCTTAAAATTTAAGAATGAAATATCAGTTCTAAGTAGTGAAATATTTTAAAATATTGTTGACATTAAACTAACTACTCATCATCAACAAATTACCCTACCAAACTGTTAAAATGCTTTTAGTGAAAATAATAATTTTATGTATATTTCTTTTTCTTGTTACCAAGATACAGCAACTTTCTAGAAGTGAGAGGAATAATAACAGTCTCTTATTTTAAATAATAACACTTGGAGGAGTAAGTATTTGAAAATAAGACATTTCCCCACTTTTAAATAACGTATAACTGAACATGTTTCAATATATGCATACAAACACTGCAGCTTCAGACTCTTGCTTTGTTGATGCAACCAAAAGAAAAAGCTCTCTCTATTATTTGTGTTGAACCAGGACAAGCTGTCCCTGCCAGCTGCACTTCCAACACTTCATATTTAATTTCAGTGCATTTAAAAGGACAGTATTTTTAAAATTTTGATGTTGTGTGAGATTGTTTGATGAGCTACTTTTCTGCCCCCCTGCACTTTGCTCTGGACCAGGCAAGGTGTTTCTAAGACTGGAGCTACTTTTCTTCACTCAATTTCTAAGGCCAAAAAATGAAAAAATTCACGCTAATAATTTTTTCTTGCAAGGCAGGATCACACATCTCAGCTGTGCTACTGAATCTATTACAGGCACCTCAATCATTTCCCAAAGGAACTCATGAAAAGTACCATGATGCAGCCCATCTGAGAGATGGGGGATCTGCAGGTAGGGGAACACCTCTAGTCCCCAAGTGCCTTTCAGAAGATGTGTGAAAGCAGCATTACAATAAGGAACTATGGTAGACACTTGGTCTTCAAAGAGAAGCTACTCAAAAGGAGTTGATGGGAAGTGGACACTGTAAAATAGAAGCAGGAGCAACAGGGAAAAAAAATCAGTGCACCTGCCTCATGCAATGGAGAATTTGTACATCAGAATCAATACTATTGACTGAAGTAGTAGAGTCCAATGTGATAAGAAAGGTAACTGGAGAGAAAGACTTGTGTGGACTCTGAAAGCATTGTTAGTTTACCCATTGGGTATCAATAACTAAAATTGAAGTCAATTAGATTATTTACAATAAACATAATGGAAGGAACTTAATGGATGTATACAAAATGGTGCAGTGATGGGAAAGAAAGAGGGTTTTTGTGCTAAGAGAAAAGAAAGAATAAGGTAGTTTCTCTTAAGCTAATACAATTTCCCCTGCAATTCTTCAAAGCTATCATAAGTACAGCATCTATAATTATGACTACATTTATATGAATATATCTTCTGCTTGTTGTTTCTTAATTTACAGCAACAAGCCGATATCCTACCAGGTATGCCACTGAAATATCATCACATATATTTCTAGCTCAGTGTGACAGCTAAAGGTAAACCCCAAAATACTAGAATGCAGCTGATCTACTACAGCAGATTAGATAAATTTTTAATTTACCTTTGTGACAAGAACAGATCCAGCAGTTTCCACTAATAACAATTACTAATGCAGGAGCTGAATCCAACTAAAAGTCTACCTTAAAGCTGAGTGTGCCGAATACCTTCTGTGTAGGTTTTGGACAGAAAATTTCCATAGGTGTCAACTGAGGCATTCAATATGAAAAAAAGAAAGCTCCTTTATGTAAATATTTAAAGAATAAAAATACCTTCTCTTTTTCACAGTCTTCCTTTGACTTCTTCTTTTTTGTGCTGTCCTAAATAGAAAGGAAAACATAAACCATGACAAAATTATTTCATGAAAAAGGTAGTAATCCCAAAAGCAGTCCAACCCATAGTCTTTTTCTGTCTCTTGAAGGTAATTCTTCAAAGTTATCCTTTCTACCTTGCAGTGAACAAGAAAAATATGAAAAAGACATAATTTTGATGCAGCTGCTTACTTCCTAAATGATCAGCATGAAAAGTCTGTATGGCATCAGTTAACAGTGTGCTTGCAGTACACGTAGAGAGCCTCTGGAAAAGATACCAGCAATCACTACTGTAACCACATATAACATGGAACAATTGGGAGCCTTTATTCTTTATCCATGTCCATCTTCACTGATTAGGCTGGGGTTAAGCAGGTATTTCCCTGGAATTTTCTGCCTTCCAGTTTCAGCAGTGAAGATATCTCTCTCCCCCTATATATAGCAAATTTTTTAACCTCCCATTAGCAAAAATTCATAGGTGTATGCAAACAAGATTCATCAAACTTATACCCTACTGAATTATATTCCAGTGAAAGCCTGTAATAAAGTCTACACTTAGAATCTAACAAGTCACTGTAATATTAATATTTTGGCAAGAAGTGCAGTTACTATACACTGTAACACAGAAAAATGTGAACATAACAGAACAAATTGCCTGATGTGTCCTCTTCACTTTTTCGTTCATTCAATAAGCTGGTGTATCTACATTGCTCTACTTTCAGAAAAGGAAAAAGACAACTTCAATTTAAGATGCATTTGGGAAAGGCTTAGTTCTCCAACAAGAAACTACTCAGTCCACAGATATTTAGAAAGGCAATATTCTGGCCACTGATACCCTGCAATACCTGTATTTTCACAGATGGTGTTCAATTAAATAGCATATTCAAAAGAATTTCATAGAAAATAGCGTTAATGTAGTATTAAAACTAAACAATTGAGCAGCAAAAAAGCTACATGTGTCTGAATTCAGAAAAATAACTACAAATGGCTGGAATAAAGAAAGTTCATTTTCTAAAGATCAAATTATTTCTGTCAGGCATTGGGGCCAGTGGAGGCAGATTCCAGTCTACATGCAGAAGATACATACAGCTCAGGCACAGTGAGAATGCACAGATTTAAATTTGGAAGACAAAAACCCATATTGATATGTGAAACTCAGAAATGTTTCTCTCTTTATAACACATGTGCATATTCACCTTGCTGTCTGACTCAGATTCTGAAGTTGAGCTTGCTGAAGACTTCCGGGAGGAGCGATACTTCTTTTTTCTTCTTTTCTTCCCTTGCTTTTTATCCTATCCACAAATATTGTAGAAAAAGGAGGAAAAACATAAACTTGAATTTGCGCTCATTAGAATTGAAGATTTACATTAAATGTAAAGAAGAGGGAACACCAAATTCCTACATGTTATCATGTTCTCTTGAGGAATAAAGTATGCTACAATTGATTCTTTTATTGGACGACCTTCATAACTCTTCTGCATTGAAAAAATGTAAACTGGTGAAAAATCCAGGTTCTCTAGATTCTGTTTATTATTTAGATGTGTGCTGTAGAATCTGATTATCTGTAACAAAGATTTTTGCTCAAAAGTAAAAATGGCATGTTTGCATTTTTATGATTAGATGGAAGATTCTATTAAAAAAGCATACAATTCAATGCTAAAACAGAAACAGATCCAGTTTACAAGCCTGGAATCCAAAATCTATAGCATCCATACAGGAACTATTGAATAGATATCTATGTCTAAAATTAACAACTTTGTTATATGTACCAAATGTATAAAAATTAAATAGTTTTATGCAAACCAAGCCCGCAAACAATATTCTAAAACATATTACCAAAATCTGTGTTAAATAAGCCTCATAAACAAAACCTGATAGATTCCAATAAGTTAGCTCTTACCTCATCTTCTGAATCAGATGAACTGCTGGAAGAATCAGAGCTTGATGAAGAAGAGGAAGATGAAGACAACTTGACCAAACACAACAAAAAGTGAAGCTTGTGAGATGCAGCATTTTGTCTAGCAAACAGTCAAAAGCCCATCCAAACACTCCCTTTCAAATTTCTACATTTTCAAAGTATCATCAATAAAATTTTACTTCTAAGAAGCTGATCCTACATTGATTTTCTTAAATAAAATTTCTAATTAACTTCTAACATTTTTCATTTAATAATATCTATTTACTGATCCTTTCCTCCCTTTTATGCAGAAATAAAACTCTCCTTGTACAGAATGTATGCAAACCCTCTTTAATAAAAGCAAGTTAATTTAACATCTAAAATCAAAATTACAGCTATACTTTTTCTTTCCAAGAGAACTTAAATGACAAATAGGAACAACTCCAATGCAAAAAAGCTCAGAAAAGTGAAAATTTTGCTCACCCTATTAGATTTCTTCTTTTCCTTTTTCTTTTTCTTAAAAGTAAAATAAAACAAATGTTACTTTGGCGTAATTTTTTTTGTCATGCATTTAGGTTTATATACTTTGATGGTGGCTTTTAAAATGTATTTATGAAATTCTGTGTTGGCAGCATTGATGATAAATCCAGTTCCCAACACAGACTGTATGAAATTGAAAATAACTTACCTCTTTCTTTTTGGAGGAACTCTCATTTCCACCCAGTAATTTTTCCCTGTGTTTTTCCAGTTCTTTCCTCCAATTCTAAAACCAAACAGAAGCAGTGGCAGGAGCATCATGTCCAAACAGTTTTTTTTAAGCTCTCCTCTACGTGACATTATAGTTTTGACAGAACCCACAGAAAATAAACAACATATAATGTTGACCAAGGCTGTAATACACTTGATTTTACATAAGATTAATATTCATCAAAATACAGTGCTAGTTCATGTGTTCAAGTTATTTGGCTTTCAGAGACCATTACTTATCTTGAAGGTCATTAATTATGGCATTTTTGCTTTTGTATCACAGCGTTCCTGATAGAGCACTTCAGAAAACCAGGGTACCCTACCAGAAAAACTGCAATTTTTTTCTTAGTTCTAAAAATCACCTGAAACAAAACTTCAAGACAAATTCTCCTCTGCCTTCTTTAATGTGTCTGTAGTGTCTGTTCTGGGCCTCGTTAATGTCAGCAATAATTAGATCAAATTACTATACACATCTTCATAGAAATGCTCTTATTTTTGTTAGGCCAAGCATACCGGATGGATGAATAAAACTCTCCTCTCATTCCTCCTTTTCAATTCCTCATACAGTCTCCAGGTCTACCTAAAACCCCCTCTTCAAGAACTCGAAGCATCCAACCTGCCCCCATCGAACTGAAAGGCTGCTAGGTTCTGTCTGCACTGTCAGACACATCATGTGCTCCCTTCTTTATTATTCTGATCCTCACAATGAAGCTGTATTGGTAATGTATTGGTAAAACAATGATAATCTACATATTGTGCTGAAGGGACAGAAATATCAAGAATTAAGTAACCTGTGCATTGCAGTATGATACCCATATCCCCACGTCAGCATATTGTCAATTAGCTGAATATTGCTGATGAGAGATATGGCAGATTAGCCAGGATACAGTAATGTGCATAATGTGCTTCCACAGTCCAAGGTAGCATCTATGGAATATTGCAGTGGGTTTGTACTTTGACATACCAGGTACCCAGAGCTACCTGAGGGGTTTTTAACAACAGCCTGTTCTTCATTAGGCCACTATTCTCTTTAAATTAAAGACTGTGCTAGTGCTATGTTTTAAACAAAAAATCCCAACAACTGTCAGTAAAATAGAGGAAACAGCACCTCATTCAGAGACATGTAATCTTTTCAACCGTTCAGAGATTGTTCTTGGGAGCTTTAGGAATAACTCATGGCTATTTCATGATTCCCTGCAACCCTTCCTGCTGTTCTGCAATACTGAAAGGTTCTATCCGTGCCAGTTTCAATTATTTCACACTCAAGTACAGATAAAATCAGGAAAGGAATGTGATAGAATACTAAACCAAACTCACCGAGCTAAAAGTCACAGAGCATGGAACAACTGATCCTTTCAGAATAGCACCCCATGGCCCTCCAAATCCTCATACAACTTCTTAGGCAAAAAGGTACAGCAGGAGTACTAAGGGGTACTATGCCCTTCCAGTAACAGATGAGGAGCATAATCTACTTCAACCAGAAACTCACAAACGATAATGAAGATTACTGCCTGAAGCTTATCTCAAGATACAAGGACCCAAGAAGGAACAGAAGCAGCTAAATTCATTGTAGACTAATTTCTCCCTTCTATACAACAGGAGTTACATGTGAAACTTTCTTATACTGGGGTGATTTCCAGTAGGTATGGAATGCAAGGATCAGAACAGTTGCATTTATAGCAGAGAACCAGTACATACTGTAATCAGCTTAGGATGAACAAAAAAGAAGTGCTTTGTAGTTCTATCTGTATATTGAAGGCCATTTTTGTGCCCTCTCCCATATTAATATTACATGTACATTCCTTGCCAAAGACGTCTGCTTCCAGTAATACACTTTTTCACAATATATTTGGACTCTGTGATATTAAACAAGTGAAGATTAGCACAAGAGGCTTAGGTATATCATACCTGAAAATGCACTAATTTATTAATATAAGCACATGCATTTGTATAAATATATTTACATTTATGGCAAGGTCAAGTTTTATTCACCAGCAAGTTTAAAAACTTTTTATATAGTGTTTCTCTGAACTGAGAGTAACTCTTCACTGGTTAAGTGGTAATCTTAACTCCTGATATAAATGAAACAAAATATTTATTCATTAAAAGCTTGAGTGAAGTGAAATACTATGGCTACTTGGTACTGTTAATAATAACAAAAGCAAAGTAGCTTGTTGGATAAGAAGAATCATATATTGACAGCTGATAACATTACCAACCTCATTCATCTTTTCTTCAAACTCAGCCAAAGCCCTGGATCCTTTCTTTTTCTTTTCTAGTTGCTCTTTCACTTCTTCCCTACATGAAAAGGATGACAGATCACGATTTTCACAATTAAAAATACCTTCTTCATGCCCTCTTCAATGTCTAACTTTTTGTAGAGTTTTTTTGTAGTTTAGCCTTGGTTGAACTTCCAACAGAAGAAGCAGGAAAGCATCTTAGATGTTACACATATGGTAACCTAACCCTAATAACTTAAGTACGGTAGTTAAATCCCTCTGGAAGATCTAAAGTTAACTTTGCAATTAAGTAAATTGTTCTCTAATGTCTCATAAAAGTAGGCAGAAGGGACTGAACATAAAGTAAGTTGCTGATAATATCTCAAAGTGATGACTTTGTTGGGTAGGTAAACTGTGTTCTAAGAATATACCAGCAAAATGTTTTTCTAGAGATTAATTTGTTTACAAATTAAATATATATGCAAGGTTTAGGTATTATTTATGAAAGAGGTAAAATGACAAACATTTTCCTCTTCTGAGAAATTGTTGCCAAAAAAATACAGACAAATAAGAAATATACATTTCAAAATGAAATACTATTGTTTTTAAAAGAGAAGATTGAAAACATATTTAGAAAAGAACACCTTGGTCAAAGACAAGGAATCTTTTAAAATCTATTACTGGATATTCTGGGTAGGTAGGTACCAGTGTCATTTTAGTAAGAAGGAACAACTCTTTTACTTAAACTGCCAGAATGGTAGAGAGGTATTGCCACTTACCATGTTGGTCTTGGCCTGTTCAAGTAGTCTTGTATTGTTGGTCCTGAATTTGGTGCAGGACCTCGTGCTCTGGCCATAGCTATGGGATTCATATAAGCCTTTAATATGAAACAACAAAAAGAAATACAAAATTCATCGGTTGTGCTACAATACCAAAATATCTTCTTTTTGTTCTCACAAAAAAATCATCTCACTCACTGAAAAATAATTCTGACTTGTTTCTAAAAATATAAAATGTTTAACTAAAACAAGTTGATTGGGTCTGGCAGAAAAGACTCAGGTAAATGCTTTCAATTTGAGTTATACTGTGGCAGAAAGAACTGATCCACAAAGAGACCATGTTCCTTACAATAATTCCCCTCCCTGAGCAATGATTTTGCAAACTGAGAGTAGTAGCATGATTGCTGAAATATTCTTCCTTGGGATATGGAAAATGTAATTATAGTTCAGCTCATACTCTCTGGGACAACTGATTCTATGCCTTTATCGTTCTGTTCAAAATTGATGACAGTAGATTCAATAAATTCTGCATGAAATTTCTTGCTGTAACACCAAAACAAGAAAGCAGTGGTACTCTGCTACAGTTATGCATATATGAAAATTCAATGACTTAGGGCTATTTGAGGAGGAAAAAAACTCCAAACCCAAACATACATAATGCCAATTTATGACGTATTCCATCTTTCAAACCTATGCATTCTGTTTGGGCTATAGAAGATTAAATTAAAGCTTAGAATCCATAATACACCTCAGCAATTAATGGGAAACCTATAGCAAACGACTCTTCCATATTTTTTTATGTCAACAATAGTTTGTTCATGTGAAAGGGGGGTACATATACCCCCTTATCTCGCAGGTTTTCATCACATCATCCCAACACTTTACAATTTACTTCTGCAGAACGTAACACACACTGTTCTTACTGTTCAGTTTGGAGATGAGGAAAAAGATCAAACAGCCCATACAATGCTTCTCTTTCGTTGCCAGTCTGAGACAATTTTTTAAAGAGTACAACATTTTGTAGATTCAAAGCAAAGATCTGACCATCTGTATAGCTCCTACATGTCTAACACTGCTTTTTATCAGGCTCTCAGAAACTGCCATACACAGGAGGTGACCATTTGTGAAAGCTGTCAGAAGCAGCAGCTGTTGCCCTCACAGCAGAAGCAGTGACCACAGCAATGCTGAGTTTCTGGACTGCAAGCAGGCTGGTGGCCTTCAGCCTTCAGCTCTTGGGGATCCATTTAGGCCTGGAAGAGGGACTCTGGGCTCTGCCTTGGATGGGGCACCTGGCTAAACTCCCCACACGAGTTTAGCTCATGATCTGGACTTGGACCACACTGAGGCAATCCAAGGACTCTTTCAAGTGGAGCATTTTTTGGCTCAAGTTGACTTTGCAACTCTAAGGGTGACATTTGCTGCTATTTCTTGGGGCTTTGCTCTATGGCTTTAATTCACACAAAAAGGCTAACATAGGCAAATAAACACAGGTGTGCCAACTGAAACAAGCAACAGATGGATGTATGCACTCAAGTAGTTACAATACTTAGAAAGAGGCATTCACATTACAAATCTGAGTAAAATTCTCGTAATTGAATTCAACTTTGAGTGGAAAAGGAGTTCCTTTAGGAATGCAGTAAACAGTATTTGAACGCTGTTTTGACTAAACAAACGTAATTTTAATGTACTAGATCCACTAGAAACTCGGCTTTCTCCAGTGAACATGCCAAGTCAACTCTTTTTGGTTACCAATCAAGAATTTGTATCATAAAGCTCTTTTTAATGTAATTATTTTCTAAAAAAAAGGTCTCTTGCTGCTCTTAAATAAAAATTAACTACTTTCCTACCTGAGTTAACATATAATGAACACCCCACTACCTCCCAACAAAACTCTCTACCTGCAAAACAGACAACCACTGTCAAATGTTGTTTTTCTACTTCCTCAAACTGCCCCTGGACAACTGGCTAGGAAGCTTCCTCCCTTTCTTTAACGTTCCCACAGCAAATACATAATGACTGAGTACTGCTATATATTCCATGATTAGGAAATTTATGTCTTAAAACATGTTCTTATAATTTCAGACAGGTTTATTTATGAAGAATTACTTCACCAATAAACATTTCTGAAAAGTATTCGCACTACTTTGCCAAACTGCATGTCACTAGCCAGAGAGAGCACAGAAAAGTACCCTCAATACAAAAAGTATTTGTCTGCACATTCATTTTCTTCTGCTTGGCAGTTTGCTCAAGCAGATATTAAGAAGGTATTTGCTGTATAGCTTTCATGCTCATGAAAAGCATAAAGAACCTTTAATGAGGTATGGTTCTCTGGGCAAGCAATACTAACTACTACTGCCTTGCAAATATCCTGTAGATGTGAAAAACCTCGTTTATTTTCCATCTCCAAATAGTCAAAACAATGGTAACAGAAAGCTCTACAAAAACACAGGAGGAGCAAAGGGTCCTATATTCTAAACTGTATGTACTAGAAAGCCATGATGGCACAATGAACATTATACAGGAACTTTATAGTCTCTGTAGTATAGAGAAAGATTTGCTGGCATTGGTAGGTATATCCCAACTGCTCTATTAAAAGAAAATTAAGAATAAATAAATACACACCCAAAAACATTACAAGAGGGCAATTTCAAGCTTAGGTCCGATCTTGGGAATCTAACACTGTCAACTCTTTCTTAGTAGACTCCATTATTTTGATACCTCAATAAAGCAATCAAAGGCACTTTGCTATCCATCTGTATAATGTATATGTCCTTCATGTCTACTACTATATTATTCCACCGAGGTATGCAAAGATGTGAATGGATCTGAGTATGAATACACAGTATATACTAGAAAAAAACAAAAAAAGGGGAAAAAATAAAAGTATTATAATTTGTGTTTGATCATAAAACTCAGCTGCAAATTTACAATGCCTAAATGATTATGAGTGTAAGGTGAAAGGCTGATACAAAAACATTTAAAGACAAACAGGAAGAAGGAGGAACGTGGTAACTGTGTGAAATCAGGCTCTGCACTCAGGTGTGTAGAAGCGCATTTTTTGTCTGCTGAGCGCTGGCTCCCGAGGCAGCAGTGCTGCGTAAAGCTAAATTTCAGATCGCTCAGGTATAGCTAAACGCCAAGTTTAAGGAAATACGGCTGAACACGGCAAAGAGCTACTTCGGCGAGTGCTGCAGCTCCCAGTGGGAACGTTTTATTTTTGTACGGACCAGGCCAGCATCTTAATCACCTTCCCCCGGCAGATCACAAAGCAGGCGTCAGTCACGATGCTGCCAGATTTGACAAGGCAATGAAAGACTCTGCCAGAGAGCCGCGGGCACGTGCCGAGGGAGGGACACCCCGCACGGGGCTCCGGCAGCTCCCGAGGGGAAGCGGGGCACGGCCCGCCTTTGTCGCCCGCCGGCGGGCTCCCGAGCCCGGCCGGACCCCAGTCCCGCCGCCGCGTACTCAGCCGGCCTCCAGGAGCCCTCGGCCCGCCGCAGGCAGCCCCGCCGGCCCCGGGCCCCTCCCGTCCCCCGCAGCGGCCCTTTCTGCCCCGCCCGGCGGCCGCAGCGCGGCGGCGGCCGGACAGGCCCGCCCGGGCCGAGGGAGAGCCCAGCTTCCCACAGCCTCCGCGCCGGAGGTGCGGCGGCGGCGGCTGCGGCGGATCCCAGAGGCACTACCCGCGTTACTCACCACCCGGTTGTCCCGCTTCCCCATGGCGCCGCCGCCTCAGCCCAGCCCGGGGTCCCTCCCCGCGCCTGGGAAGCCGCGGCCCCGCTCGGCCCCGCTCGGCCCCGCTCGGCCCCGAGCGGCCGCGGAGCTGCGGCTGCGGCGATGGCGGCGGCCACACAACGCCCCCTGCCGGGCCCGCGGCGCCGGAGCGGCCACCGCGGCCCCTCGGCGGCAGTCCCGGCCCCGCCCCGCGCGGCCCCGCAGCGCTGAGGGGCGGCCCCGGCAGCGGCGGGGGCGGAGCGGGCCGAGGATGGGAGGGGCGGAACACTGCGGGGTGTCGGTGGGGTGGTGGCAGTGGCGGGGAGGCAGGAACACACACAGGATGGGTCAGCTTGGAAGGCGTTGCAGTGAATCATCTGGTCCAACCTCCCTGCTCAAGCAGGGGCGTCCCAGAGCACAGTGCACAGAATTGTGTTCAGACTGTTTTTGAGTATCTCCAGTGAGGGAGACTCCACAGCCCCTCTGGGCAATCTGTTCCAGTGCTCGGTCACCTGCACAGTAAAGAAGCTCTTACTCATATTCAGGTGGAGCTTCCTGTGCATCAGTTTCTGCCTGTTGGCTTCTGTCCTGTTATTCAGCACCACCGAGAAGAGCCTGGCTCCATCCTCTTGAACACCCCCTTTAAATGAGGTCCCGTCTCAGCCGTCTCTTCTGAGGCCGAACAGGCCCAGCTCCCTCAGCCTTTCCTCGAAAGAGAGATCTCCAGCCCCGCAGTCATCCTCGTTGCCCTCTGCTGGCCCCACTCCAGGAGCTCCATGTCTGTCTTGTACTGAGGAGCCGCCGGCGGGGCGAGCGCCGGGACAGCCTTTGTGAGGCGGAGCTGGGGGTGGCTCTGTGGGGAGCCTGGATGAAATGTAAACGTGCACTTGCATCCCGGAAGAGGGCAGAATTTCATGGCGAGGGCTTTGTCTCTTGATCCATCTAGTGGCCAGTTACAGATGGAAACGCGGTGTTACTTTTTCCTTGGGTAGACGCATAGACTAAAGTATTATGAAATAGCAGCCTGTACCGACATAAAATTCAATGAAACGGGGCTCTATTTGGGGAAAAAAGAAAAACAAAACAAAACCAAAAGTGTGTACTCATCCCTCGGTAGCCATCTGCACTGCAAAATAAAGCACATTGTAATACTGGCAGGTTTAATATTACATTAAGGTATTGGAAGTGCTAAGAGAAGCCCATGAATCACCGGGATCTACTAACATGAATTTTAAATGTCCTTTTCTTAAAGTGTTACCATTAAAAATTACTGCGTGGTAGTCACTGCTTTGTAAAAATGACAAAAAGTAATTATGTTAATATGCTAATCATACAAAGCACAAATGAGTTTTGTTTCTGAAATACTTTTTCTGTCTTCATCATATTTGGGAATAGCTGGAACAACTGGTGAGCCAATGGGAATTTGTGATACCAAATTGCTTAATAAAACCAAGAGCAGGCTCTGAGGAACCAGAAGGAAACTAAGAAAGTGACTACACCAGATTTACAAGTAAAATTTGTTCAGTTGCAAACTAAATTTAGTGTTCAAAATTGCAAGATAGTGCATAACGGAAGGGATAATGTTTATTCCTCAGAAAATAGCTGATATGTTTTAAAACAAGGATGACTACTTTGGAAACACATTGGGCAGTTCTCCCTAAGCTGCTTGCAATGCTCGAGAAGGACAGTGAAGACAAAAGAAACTGCATTAAAATACATACAAAATGAAGTTGGAAGTATCACTGAATATATTATGATACCCCTTTTGTGAAGCACATTGATGTCCTTGTCCTGAACACATCTTCAGATTTGGGCCATTTTAGAGTACCCCCGTGCAATCTGTTTTTCAGGTGGCTGCACCATGGCACTGCACCCCTGCAGGCTGTGCCCAGCACCACTACAGCCCTAGGCAGCACAAGGGTGGCCCCAAGTGTGAGAGCATGGCTGTCTGTGTGTCCCTGTGCTGGCACGGTGGCCAGGCTGCAGGTCTTCGTGGGCTGCAGCTCAGCTGCAGCAGAGTAGGTAACACCTAAGCTGCATCAAGTCTTCCAGGATAGAATTACTCTTCAGAAATGTTTTGACCAAATTTGAACCTAAGAGAGTTTATTCATCCCATGGTTTGCACCATGAGACGTTGAGTCTGGTACCTGGAAATAGTAAGACTTGCCATTGCAGGAAGGCAAGGGCATTGGAGTCCCTCCCTGTGCAGGCACTGGGCAGAAGGGAGTCCTCTGCTAGGCACTTCACAGTATTTTAATTAGACCCCAATTAACTTTTCTTCCCTGGCTGCGAAGGTGACTTGGGAGTCCAGCCAGATAAATCAGATTTCTAAAAATGGATGAAAATACTTGAGGAAAGGACTTCTGTGTGAAAGGAGACTCAGAGATGACCTTGTTTATCAAAGGAGTGGGTGGGGGGAGCAACATAACTGATTGGTACAAAATGAGGAGTGATAGATACTGTGCTATCTTGCTTTCCATTTATCAGTAAATGGCAGGTGAATGACAGACAAAGACAATGCATGTCAAATTCTTTTTAAAGGAACATTTGTTTCTATGGTGCTGACATGTGACACCTAGTGCCATCAGACAATTTTGAGGCAAAGAGGATAAGAACACTTATGTGAATAACGGGAAGAGTAACATTTGTGCTTTTTTTCCTACAAGGTCCTCAGTATTTTGCTTAATGGATTATTTTTTTTAATACCATTTTCTTTTCCATAATTAGGTTTTATGAACTCACCTTCTCACAGATGAGGGCTAGGAAGAAAATTCCCATATGAAGAATTTGTATTGTAATTGTCAACAGACAGTAGAATTTTCTTCTGTGGTGTCTTGCTCTGAGCACTAACAGAGATAGAACACCAGAAAGTATACAGATCTCTGTAGTATTTCTTATGTAATGTTAAATATTTCCACAATTTTTCCCTTTTTCACAATCCATTAGCTATGGCTAACATGGGTATTTGTGACTCTGACTGGCCTCACTGCAGTTCACTTTGCGTCTGTCCCTGGCTGGACTGCTGCTTATAACCTTATAATGTGCTTAAAGACTAATTTGGAATGTCACGTAATGTAAAGGTGGCTGTTTTTATTTAAGGCTGTGTTGCATCTGCAGCTTATAACCTTAGCTTATAACTAAGCAAAAGACTTCCGTGGTTCTTTCTACTTTCTAAGGGCAGCACAAAGTTTTGGTTCTAAGCTATAAAATCCTTTGAGGCTTTAGGGTCTGGTTAGCTTTCCAGTCATTTCTGTCAGCTTTCATCCAGGAGCTGACACCCCTCTGGATGCTTGAGCTAATACTTGGCTCACTGGAGGCCTTATTAGTAGAAGGTACTTGTATCCTGCTCTAAAGAGCACTTAATGATCTTTACAATAAGCTGAAGCTTTATTGGAGTTGTTTTGATGAGCATTTTTTGGTTGAAGACAGAAAACGTGCAGCTGATTTTAGAGTCTGATGTGTCATTTTGTGTTTGATTCAAAACCCACATTTTTACCATTTCTATACACCAAGAAATGTTACTAGTTGAATTTAGAGCCAATCAAGAAAAAACAGTCAATCAATAAAGTGTGCTCAGCTCCTTAAAAGATGAAAACAGCAGAATCTTTAGGAATACACAAATACCATGCATGTTAGTGCAATGGTGGATCAAGTAACCTTCGGGAAAAATATTGCATTCCATGGACAACTGAGAGCCATTATGGCTGTATTACAGCACAATTTGCTTAGACTCAAACAAAGATTTCAGTAAAGACAGATTAGTGCTGAATCACAGATTCCCAGCAATTGCAGCAATGTTTTGCCTTTGAAAGAAAAAGTGATCTCATATTTTTATTTTTTTTAATGGCATTCATCCTAGGTAAGCAATAAAGTAACTCAGAAATGAGAAATCAGGACAAATGAGCTTAGATTTTTATAAAACAAATTTTATATGGTAAGTGCTAGAAGAGGTGTGCATGTGCTTATGTTTCTGTATCTGGTTGTTCGTTGATTTTCTAGAATATACACGGTGTTGAGAAAAACACTTGCAAACACACAAAGTACAAAATCAACGTTGCTAATTTTCTGTATTTAATATACAATACTTACTGCATTTGTATTCATTTTACATTTTTAGACAAAAGAAAAATATAGCTAGAAGGGTGAAGCAGTTTTAAATACAAAACTGATTTTTTGTTTTTACTTTTCAATAATTTGGGAACAACTAAAGAGAACTCAACACTGTGAAAAATTTTATTATATTGATTTCCATACCGAAGCCTCAGCACCCAACAATAAATACACAACTTTGCTTTTCTTGCACTGCCAGCAGCAAAACATTCAGTTCCAAAGGACTGTAATTCTGATTTAATACATTATTGATAACTTTCTGTGTGCCTTAATTTAATTCTGCTGTATTGACACATGATTAGTTTTGCAGTCAACCATCTTTACAAACTTGTAAAAGCTAAAGAATATGTTATACAGTAAGGTGCATGCTCCGATGAACTTCAATGCAGTCAATGTAAAGTAGCCCCAGCTGAGGGTGTTCTTGAAGCAGAAAGCCCCATAGGGTGAAATCTGGGACACAGAGCAGGCATGCAGTTAGATCAAAGGGCTTTGTTCGAAAGCTTGCAAAGGGAGCTCTAGAGTTTCCCAAGTGTCTGTGTTACTTCCCAGCCATTCTGTACAGCAGAAACATATTTTTTGCTAATGTGTATATGGTAATCAGCAGCTGTGCAAGAAGAGGAAAGAAGCTGCAGGATCTCCTGTACAGCAGTGGTTCAAGACTTCTATACCACAGTTCACATGTTGTAGCCCCTTGATGTCATATTGATGACTGAAAGGTAACCCAGTATATTTGAGTAACAATTCAAGAAATCGCTTTTACATTTTCTATGCCTCTGCAGGTGATACTGTATTTCACACATAGGCGATTCTAATGCTGAATGCAAAGAATGTAAAGAACACTGACTAGTAACTATTAAGCACAGAATAAAAAAACTCAATGATGCACCTTTAAAAGAAACAGTAACACACGCACCTTTTCATGTTTGTACCCTGATTAAAAGAACAATATGAATTTCAAGTATGAAGTGATACAGTGAAATCATGTCCTGTGAACAG